ACCGCGCGTCGCCCGCACGCGCGATGACCGCTGGCCCGGGCTCTGCGTGTCCGGACGTCCACGCACGGCCCCGGGAGGCGGGGGCGCCACAGCAGTGCTCCTTTGCACGCATCCCCGGTCGCGAGACTACGGCACGGCGCAGTGTGCACGGTAGAGGACGCGCTTTTGCACGTCGCGCGGGCGCGGTGTGAGGCTTGCGTCGCCGCGGCGTCTTCCACCATCGGACCAGACCAGACGTGCACCCGCGCACGGAGACCCGCGGACGGACGCACCGCATAGATCTAGCGGCCGCAACGCCCCCGCATCGTCCGCCACCCTTATTGCTTCGGTAGCGTCGCACGCAGCGTCCCCGCACCATCAATGCCGTACCCGCGCATTTTCATATTCGCGCTGTTCGCGTGCCTGCCACCATGGTTCACGTCACCCCGCGCTGCGTGATCGGCGTCTTGGCTTTTCACGTATGCGCCCGACATGCCGTCCCTCCTTGCGACGCACGCCGACCTGCCGTCGTCTCGCCATGTCCTCTCGCGAGCTCGCTCTTCCCGCGCTCTAGCGAGCTAGCCACTGCTACGGCTCGCGCCTCCGCTGCAGTCTGAGGGCGGGGAATGTGCATCGCATCGGGTGCCAGAGCAACGCGCGGGATGCCCCGGCGCTCAGATCCAGTGCGGACGTTGCGTCCCCGGTCAGACACCATCAGTCGGGAAAATAAGGCAAGAGACGGAATATGGCAACGGCGACAAAAGCAACACCGCGCGGCACGCACAACACGCGCGCAGCCGACACTCTGGCATCTAGACGACTGCCCCCGCATTCAGAGCGGCGACGAGGGTGCATTGTCGGCAGCCGTCGAATTACCACACCATGCCTGCAGCAGACGCCGCAGGGAATTGCAGAGGCAACAATGCCTGCACTGTCAAACTACGCCGGTCACACATCCTAGCGGCAGCAGGGTCTAGTCCGTGCGCGCTGCCTTTAGTCATCCTGCTGCGATGCGCGCCCTCGTCGCCGCAATAACAGCGGGAGGACGCAGTCACGGTCCTCTCTCTCGCACGCGCTCAATGTTTGGCCGCCATCTCCCTGTGCATTTTTGACTATCGGTAGCCATGACCACATCCCGTCGTCGTCCCTTGTGCGTTCGTCTATGCCCCATGCCGTCAGCTAGAGGTGCGAACGCTCGCACTATATCATTATTTTTATTGGTCCGCGGGCCTGTCGTCCATCATCTCGCGTCGTTGCTGTAGTCGCGCACGTGTGTACATATTCATATTTCCTTCCATCAAGATATCGCGCTCATTCACCCTGAGCTCGTGTAGTCACTGCATCACCTGCAGGTCCTGGGCTTCTCAGGCTAAGACACGGTTCCGGTGCGATAGCGGAGGCTGCTGTCGAGATGCGCAATGAGTGCCGGTGAGTCCCCTGGTCGAGATGCGCGCGACTGCTGTGTTGCGAACCCACGCACGGACACTCCGTTTCCTGCATCATGGCAACCCGGGTCCGCCGCATACATAATGCAACTGCTCGTGTAGCATCCTGCAACAACCGAGCTACGCGCATCTCCACCGGGGCGCTCGCACGGGCTTCTCGTGTGTCGCCACGGCATCTGCCACCCTCGGACCAGACGTGCATCCTTGCACAGAGAACCCGCCAACGGCAGGATGCACGCGCACGCCCGTGTCTGTGTTCTGCGTCCTGTCCGGTCCTATCGTGTAATCCGTATGTGCCGCGCGGGCAGTCAACCATATGACTACCCACTCACAGGACAGCGCGCGTGCTAGCATCGCATCCGGGGTGATCTTCAACGCGCAGGGCGAGCTTCATGTGTCCGCCACCGGGATGCCATGCCCGCGTGTAGCCAGTGCGCAAACACTGCCAGAAGTGTCAGAACACGATCTTGCCCCTTGGCCCGGTCACTGCACGTATGGCCTTGTCCCGCGCGAGGCTACAGCATGACGCAATTTGCTCAGCGGGACGCACTCTGCATGCCGCAATATTTGCGCTGTCTGCCCCGCGGTGGGCAGCCTCATCTTCAATCTCTGCGATCCCGGTCAACACGGGTGTGCGCGCTCCACCAAAAGGCTCCGAAATGGGCATCAATTCTGTGTCGCATCTTCCAGAAAATCACAGGCTGTCACAATCGTGAGATGATCGGGATTACATACTTCCCATGTGAATTTCTTACCCCTGGCTATTGTCTGGCCGAGGCCGTGATACGTGTTATGTGTATATATACACTGTGTGATTTATTTCCGGCGACCTTCCTGCTACTTTCCTCGCTATGACCTTCCATTCTGCTTTTACTGAGGTGTCATTATGTTTTATTTCTTTCTTATTCCTCCGGTCACCAGCCTCCAAGTAAGTGAAAACCCGTTATCATCTTTTTTTACCAATAGGACCTCACCAGCCTGCGCTCTCCACCTGAGCAGTGTTTGAAGCTCCACAGCCCGGTCAGCATCTGCATCATCAATGCGCGCACGCTCTCGCAGCGTGATCGATCAGTGCTCATCCCGATTAGGGCAATACCAACGCGGGCCTGTTCAACGTGAGTGGGTGCGGGTATCCGGGAGGTGAACTTCAAGATCGCTGTCGATGGAAGTGCGGGGATGGTCAACGGAACAAGGTGCGAGGGCCCAACATTTGCAGATGTGATTGCGCTCTCGAATGACTAGATATGCACAGGGTGTGGACAGCTGACCGGGCCCGGTCAGGATTGTTGGCCGTCACTGCACCTCACTGCAGAGCTTGGCGACTGTCAGGTGCATCGTACGCGCTCCCGCCGATGACTACTGTGCGCTGACAGTTGACCGGGCTCGATCAGCATTGTCAGTGTGCTCTTGCTCGCCGTGCGCCCATGCGTCCCAAACAGCACCAAGATCTGCAAGTCCGGTGGCAGCCACACGAGCAACACCTGCTTCGCCGCGCGCGTCTTGTTCCCCTCCTCTGCCTGCTCCCTGCGGCTCGGGCGCGGTATAGAACCTCTTGTGTGTCCCGTGGACCACTGACGTCGACGCCTCGCTCTCCGTGGACGGCTGCGCCACCATCGGGCTCGCTTGTGCCCGCCCCGACGCATCCGGAAACGAGAATGCGCACTGAACGGCTGTGTCCAGAGGCAATGTCCCGGGCGACTCGAACGTGTGCGTCGTCTGCGATATGCTCAGCAGGGAGGATGACAGCGGCTGGTCAATGGCGTCCAGTGTCAGTGATGGCGGTGCATCTGACATGCGGCACGGCGATCTGGCTTGAAGTTTGTCCGTCGCAGCACCCATCGCAATCTTCTTCGTCCACACCCAATCTGGTCCTTCTGCGCGCAGGTCGTCCGAGAGCACGTCGCGGTAGCACACAAGCATTTCGAGGTCAAGGGGCCCGGTCAGTGTCGTTAGCCGCGGCGGCGGTGCTCGATGTGTCTGCCCGTGCGTTGGCGGTGCGCCCTCGCCATTTCCACTGGCGGTCGTCTTATCATGCGCACGGCGCGTTGACAACTAACCGTGCCCGGGGAGTGTCACTGGCCGTCACGGCGGCCTGCCGCAGCGCTCAGTGCGTATATGGTGCGTGAGTGGTGGGCTGTCTCGCTGTCCACGGCAGTGTTCGTTTCTGGATGTGCATGGGGTGTCCACGGCTGACCGGGTCTAGTCAGCGTGAGTCGTCAGCGCGCAGCATCTGCGGACATTCAGGTGCATTGTGTGCGCTCTCACTGCTTCCGCGGATGGTCGCCGCGCGTCGCCAGCTGACCAGGCCCAGTCAGCGTCGCTGGCCATCACGGCGTCCCGCTGCAGCGCTCGGTATGTATGTGGCGCATCAGCGGCGGGCTGTCCCAGACAGTGGCCGTCTCTGGACGTGCGCGGAGTGTCTACGGCTGACCGGGTCTGGTCAGCGTGAGCTGTTGTCAGCGCGCGCGATCTTCAGACGTTCGGATTCGTCGTGTGAGCTCCCGCTGATCGCTGTGCGCTGCCAGCTGACCGGGCCCGGTCAGCGTCGCTGGCCATCATGGCGGCCCGCCGCAGCGCTCGGTACGTATATGGCATGCGAGCGGCGGGCTGTCTGGACGTCCCCGGCGGTGGCCATCTCTGGACATGCGCGGGGTGTCTACGGCTGACCGGGTCTGGTCAGCGTGCGCGGTGTTCAGACGGTCGGATGCGTCGTGTGCGCTCCCGCTGATCGCTGTGGGCTGCCAGCTGACCGGGTCCGGTCAGTGTCGCTGGCCGTCACGGCGCGCCGCTGCTACCGCGCTCGGTGCGTATATGGCGCATGAGCGACGGGCTGTCTGGACGCCCCCGGTAGTGACCACTTCTGGACGCGCGCGGGGTATTCACGACTGACCGGGTTTGGCCAGTATTGGTTGTCGCCGGCGTGCGCGCGGGGCAGCTGGCTGACATGCTCGCACGCGGGTGGACTGTCGCTTTGACATCCCGGGTAACGTGTCGGTCTGTCCAGGAGACATTGAAGCACAGCGGGGACTGCGGGAGGTGGCGGCGGCGGCTTGGACGAAGGGCGCGGCGGGCGCGACACGCAGGGCGCGGGATGTGTCCTGTCAGGAGCACTGGAATGAGCGCGGGGAGTGAGTCTGTCAGTAGGCTGTAGTAGACTATAAAATATATTTGCTTGTGGTGACTGTGTACACTCTGCGCTCTACTGCGCTCTATTGCTATGCGCTCTACTGCCTTGCCCTCTAATTCCCTTTACCGCCCTCGATTGCCTTGCCCCCTACTCTCCTCTGTTGCCCTGCTGCCTACTCTGCTCTATTGCCGTGCCCTCTATTGCCCTCTATTGCCGTGCCCCCTACTCTGCTCTATTGCCGTGCACTTGGCCTATCTCTCGATTTTCACTCGGTCAGTTCTCGCACGCTCGTGATCCAGGACGCGCGCGCGCTAGCTCCTACCAGTCGCCCGCCTGCGACGCCAATGACGGCGAAGACCCGAAGATGATACGCTGGAACCCAAATGCCTCGACGACAGGGCTGACTGCTCGCGCAGGCTCAGCTCTGGAAGACCGGAATATCAAAAGTGTTACGCACTGTACATCTTGAGCCTGCGCTTCCACTCGTTGCGCTCCTTCTGCGACGCGGACGGGACGGGCGCACCCCACGCAGGAGGGAGCAGGTTCACCCACACGTTCCCGAACAGCGACAGTGCTGCCGCGTGTGACTGGTAGTTGCGATACGACGGGTGCGTCAGCAGCTTCACGATCGGCAGAGCAAGGTCGTCCGGAGGCGGCAGGATATTCGCTAGGGACGCCATAAGCGGATGTAGGGACACCATAAGCGGATGTCAGCACAGAACACGCGAATACGTACACACGACAATCTTTCCATGGAGCTCCTTGACGTCCTTGGAGATGGTCATGCTCGTCAGCATCTCTTCCAGTGCGTCCCAGCCGCCCTCGACCTCTCGTATATCACATTGGACATCTATGTGGACAGTGTGTCCAGTCTTCAGCGCCCATTGCAGTGCCTCCCGGACCCGCGGCTCGTTCTTCGTGAAGATGGCAGAGGGGACGAGCGCAGGCGTCGAGCTGCCAGGCGACTCGAGGTAGGCGGGGGGCGTGAACGTCGCCTCGCCCTCCGCGGGAATGACGGGCACAAGCACAGCTACGACAGGGACATCGAGTGATCCTGATCGAATACTACGGGCAGATGATCAGGACGGCACGAACAAGTTGATCGGCGGGTATAGGCATCGAGGACGACGTACTTTGCCAGGATCTTCTCGACTTCAGCCGGCTCCTTTTGGGGGAGAGCCAGCACGACGCCCTTGGTCTTGCGGCGCAGGGTCTCGCCCGCTTGCGCCTTCCACTCGCTCAAGTCGCCATCCGGGGCGATCACGTACGCGTCGACAAGCTCTTCTGGCTGCAGTGTGCTTGGGCTGGGGGGCAGCGGGAACGCCTCGGACGATCCAGTGTTGGGTGGGGTAAATGCGGAGAGCGGCAGACGAGGCAGTGCCTTTGCGCCCTTGCGACGTGCGCCGACGCTGGGCGAGAGAGGTGTTGGCGGGATAGCGGAGGCCATTGTTGTTGTCAGCCAGTAGTTGGATGGTTGCGCGTCGAGAAAGGGCGGTGAAGGAGGGGAGATGATTGCAGCGGTGCTCTTATACTTAGCAGATGGACAGTGACAAGATCAGATCTCCGCATCATCTATGGTCATACCGGGGTCCTCCAGGGTCCTCTCTTGGTCTACACCACGAGGATGTCTGCGCCAGGTTACCTTGGGGTCGGGGCTTCTGCCAGAAATATACGCATCTTGGCAGTATCATGGGGGTAACATATTTCCAAGGTAGCAGATGCGGCGCAGACTGTCGAACAACTCAGATGCAGAAACTGCCCAAGCGGACAAAACACTGAGTCACTGAGGCGATATTCAGCTCTTCGTTGAGGAGCAATCTGGGAGTGACAAGACGAGGAAAGATGGGAGGTGTTCTCGATATGCGACGTGCGGTCGTGTACATGCCGCTGCCGTAAGATGTGAAAAGAATTGATTGCCATGACGGCATGTTATGCTCCTGCCCCTATGCTGACATAAAATGAACCATGATAAGTGAAAGATTTATACTGTATTGCTAAAGCTGCTCACGAGCAGAGCCTCCAAACTGAGGACTACTTGAGGGCTACTAGTCAATACCATTTTGGGAAAGTACACGTCCCTTTTGGGTGATTAGGACCCCGGGACTGCCATCACGGTTTCTGGTTGTGCTCCGACTCTCTCTCTCTGAACGGCAATAACAGAGCGTTATTGAAATCCATCATCTATGCTCTAAGCCGCGTTGCGACATACCGTGTCATCAGCCATCTTACCATGATCACGAATCAAAGTCTGTTACACAGCTCAGTACTGCTTAATTGGAGGCGCGTCCGGCGTTTCCTGTCGCTCTTACAGGACGTTTTGACGGCTCTGACATTGATACTTGGTGCGGACTAGGTTGTCTTGACCGACATCGCCGTGCGAATGAACAACTGTCGTGCGATCGCCTTTCTGACAGGCACCGAGCTCATACTCGTCGTTCTGAAGAGAGCGCAATCCTACTTCGTGTGAGTGACGGAATCTATTGCTCTTAAGCGCTGCAGCCCTCGAGTGGGACCCACTCGAACCTCTCTTGCTCTGGGTCGTCATGCAGGCATATAGCTTGCATCAGTCGAAGGCTCGAGGCTGATGGTAACTCCCACGACGACTGGTTTCCACTCGTAATGTTGACTTGGGTGAATCTAATCTGGATCCGCTCCCATTACTCTGCGCTTCGGGCAACCTTGAAAGTCTCGAACAGTGTCGGACATTGACATCTCCTTGGAGCCCGGTCACAGCGCTCGGCATGTCTCAAGTTAATTTGAGCTCCTGAGGAATTGTCTCGTAACCAGACGCCAAAGGACTGCAACTTGCGCCGCATACCTCCCAAAAGCGCTACCTTCATCGGGCTAGCTCCTCGGTCCCACCTCTCGGACTAAGCACTGCCCACAGGCGTCAGTCCAGGAATTCACCACCACCTTGCCGGCAGTCATACACACATGGCTAGCACCCCAACTCATTTACGAAATGCAGTTCACTTGCATGATTCAGATGTTCGATAGCACCTCCTGAGCAGTGTGCGACGAAAAGCAGAACTTGGATCCCGACCGGACCTGCTGAACCCGTTCGGCAGGTTCGGTCCACGTTCAGGTTCGGTCCGACGCCATCATCAGATGTTCAGGTTCAGGTTCAGAGCCTAGGGGGCCGAACCTGGACCGTACCCGAATCCTGCATCATGAAACCATGCTTATCAACCATCTCAATTGCTTCTCGTTGCATCTGGGCTCCAAGGCTTCAATCCCCTTGAAGTCCCACACGTTGAATGTGCTCAACTTAATGATGGTCGTCGACATCTCCGCGAGCCGATGGCAAGACGTTCATCATCACTGTGCTTCGATGATACTTCTCCACAGTAACGACTTGGCGAATTGGCAACATGCGCCCCTATGAAGAGTGCAACAAGTATTGAATAGTATCACCTCCCAAAAGTCTTTCCTGTAGTCAACTGTAGTTCAGTGAAGGCAGGTCACTCAAGGTTGGTCCAAGGTGGGGTATGATCACGGCGGGGCGCAGAAGCCACACGATAACTTGACCGAGTGAAAGGTGAGCGCGTCAACGTATCTTCGTCTCTGCTCGAGGATATAGATTGACAAGCCCGGCCCAATGTGAAGATAATATATCACGATTAACCTCCCGGATGGCCATGATTGTCATTAGTTGGATCGGAACGAGAAGCCAGACGATCGCACAACCATAGTAGTTCTACAGTGGCCAATAATACTTCCGACATTGTAAGACTCAATCTCGCTAACCTACGCCAATTGTAGATACAATATTGATCTATACTCAGGATCAGCGTTTGAGTCACCCACCACCTCGGAGGACATCAACTGAATAGAATCAGGGTACGTCCTGTCGAATCCTGCGCTCACAACTGGGCTACACGCCGCCGGCAAACTTCACAAGACCGCGATACATATATAATTCAGAGCATTGCGAGAGCAGTTGCGATACATTTTACACGACGACAGCGATATCTATGGAGTGTCAGCGTCGGATCGGTACACGGAAATACATACAGTAACACGTTCAATGCACTTTCTACAGATAAATTGCTGATGGAGCCATAGCATTAAGCGTATATGCGAGGTGGAGCAGGAGGTCCTGCAGATGAGGAGCTGGGCATGAAAGTAACATTCGGTTCCTGCGCGCTATTCATCCGACGATGGAGCCAGACAGGCACAGGTGCGGGGGAAGGCCCGCGCGGAGGCTGAGGCGATGGGTCTCGGATGGGCTCAGGGGATGGCACACGCATATGCTCGACGGCCGGAGGGGGAACTATCGGGAGAGGCGAGGGCTCTCTCAGCTGGCTCGTGGCCTCCACCCAGCGCTGTGTACGGTCATCATCCTGCCGAGACAGTCAGCTTCGGAAACGCGAAATGGAAAGGGACGCACTGTAGTCGTGGTGACCGTGAGCACACTCTGGCGACGCTCTTCCGAATCCATGAACTTGTCGAACGCTTCGATCGCATGCACACGTTCTTCTCTCCGGCCCTGCTTAAGACCGTCTGCATACCCTTCAGACCACCCAACTTTTCGCCCTTCCTCGAACCCGACCAACCGGCCGGCATTGTAACCCTCCGTGCGACCTGAAGCATAGCCCTCAGAGCGGCCAGTCTCGAAGCCTTCTGCATGTCCATTTTCGTAGCCCTCCGCACGGCCATCCTCAAAGCCATCCTCTCGCCCGTCATTATACTTACGCCGCATCTCTAGCATACGGCCCTCCTCTCGCCCCTCCTCCCTCGCTTGATGCTCGCGCAGCGCCTGCTGTGCTTTACGCGCGAGATCGCGCGAATCGGCTGCATTCTGCTCTGCTTCCTTCCGCATGCGCTCGAGTCGTTGCATGTCAGCTTCCACCCGCCGCAGCTCGCGTTCCGACGCCTCGGCGAGAAGCTGAAACCTCTTTGTCTCCTCGCGGACGCGTGCTGTCTCCAGCTCAGCCTGATGCCGGCCGTTTTCCGCAGTCGCGATGCGCAGGGCGACTTCCCGCGAGTGGCCCTCTGCCGTCCGCGCCCGCAGCTCCGCCTGGTCTGCGCGCCGCATCTCGTAGTCGAGCCGCTCGCCTGTATTGCGCAAGACTGCCTTCAAATGGTGTGCCTGGCGTTCCTCCTCGGCGAGGACGAGCGTCAGGATGCTAGATGTATCCGACGTATCTTTCGTCTTCCGCCTTGGCTCCTTCGCGGGGTAGTCTCGTTCGCGACTGTGTTCGTGCTCGCGCTCGCGTTCCCGGTCCCGCTCTCGGTCCCTATGTGAGGAGCTTGTAGAGCCGCGGCGGGTCTTCTTATGTCCCATGAGCGCAGTCAGCACGGCGGGGTCACGGAGGAACTCGCCCAGGGGGGAAGGCGTCGATGTCGCCTCTCGGAGTTCGTGCATCACGTCGTACCTGCCTGACGCTGGCGTGGCGACCGGCGGTCCGTGGGCTGGTGAGTCCGTGGTGCGAGAAGCGCGATGAAGGTGCTTACTCCGTGTCGGCGGTCGACACCAGCGAGGGAGAGTAAGCCCGGGGGCTCACGAATGGCACCGCAGATGCGGAGTATCCGGTCGCAGGAACTGTCGCAGGGCTCATGGGGGACGCAGGAGAGCAGGATGATGGAGCACCGGGAGGGAGAGGTGGCTTTAACCGTCGCATTAGCGAGGTAGAGACACCGCGGAGCTGGTGCTTTCAACGTGTTCGGCTAGACACATGTCTGGGGCGGTTATGTACGAGAAGGGTGGACAGGCCAGGTGGACGGATCGCGGAGCCGGTAGTGCGTCCGTGCCCGATGAGGTCTCCACAGACCAGACGGGATAGATAAGTTCGAGAGGTCCAGAAGTAATCCAGACAGTAGCAATCCAGACAGAGTTAGATCGTCACGAAACAAGCGGGGCAGAGGCGTTGTGCATCAAGAGGGATAAAGGAAGAGTTCGCATAAACATAGCAGAAGCAGAAGCATACTCATATAAGCAACTCTCTATGCGCTCATGTATGCACTATCTCCTCCAAATCCTGCCACAGGTTCTTCTAGACCAATACGCAACATTTAGAGTCGTATCAGCGGAGCTGCAGTTTGGCCACGAGAACAAAGTAGCTGTCCAGCAGAAATTGGCGTATCATTGGTCCATAGAAAGACAGCTTTAGAGCACAAGCTACAGAAATGTCTTTCGGTCAATTGAGGCCAGCGGTGCGGGTGAAAAGAGAAAAGGAGTCAAGTGAACGGGAGTTAATTGTGGTTAGGCTGAAGTGGTCATTCTCGGTTCCGGAGCTTGGCTTGGACGCCACACCGCCCTAATGTGAGAGAACCCTCTTTCTCGTCGACTCTCATCTGACATTCGCATCTTCACCCAAGTACCCCAAGAATTAGTAGCAACAAACTAGCTCACTGTCCTTCGATATAGTGCGATGGACACGAACCCAAATGGGACAACCACGACAAAAGTCGAGGAACAGGCGCGCCGTCAGAGGCGTGCAGCACTGAAGGAACTGAATCTAAACCAGGCGGGAAAAGGTGTGTTTTGTCCATCATTGAATCGTGCTGGTTGTGCAGACAACGCGTTCGAACCATACAGAATCGACCAAGGCTCTGGAGTCGTCCCTGAAGCGCCATACCGCCCTAATCAAACGGATCCGCCAGTCGTTGGGCGTGGAGAGCCACGACCAAATTATCAAGGATATCGAGACATTGTCTTTGGAGAAGTACGTGGACGAAGTAGCTGGCGCCACATTGGAAGGAATTGCGCGTTGCAAGACCGAGAAGGATGTTTGGAGTGCTGCGGAGGTTCGTCTGCCTTGACTATTGAATGTGATGTCCCTATTGACGGCGATATTATGCGCATATATGCTACGCTCAGATCATTTCTCTCCTGCATCGTCGGTTCCCGAAGTCGTATACGCCAGGTCTTGTGTCCGCTCTGTCTGCGGCGCTAGCCCCGCCCTCGCGTGCTGTCCTGTCTGCTCTTGCCCCAGAGCAGCGCGAGAAAGAGGACAGTGCACGCATCTCGCGTCAACGACCGATACTGCGCGTATGTGCCGAGTTGGCTCTCGTGGGCATCATCAAGGATGCGCCTGGTAGGAGTGGTGGCGAGTGGGTTATGAAGACATTGAAGGATCTGGTGAGTACAACATATTTACTCCCGCATTGTTCCCTCTTACTCAATATTGGATACAGCTATCTAATGACCCCACACTGTCATCTTTGCCTTTACTGTCGACGTTCCTCAAGACCTTCGCCAGGCCTTACCTCGGTCTAGTGCCGCCTGCATCCACCAAGCAGATACCATCCTCCTCGGAACCCGGAACACTTTCCTCGGCAGCTACCACCGAGGCCAATGGGACTGCTGGTGGAGGGTTTCCGCCGATCGGCAAAGAGGAAGATGAGCTCGTGGAGAAAGATATCAGAGACAGATTCAAGAAGATGTGCGAGGGCTACTTCGAGAATGTATCGAAGAAGTTAGTTCAGGAACACAATGTACGTGCAATATGCGGGACATATGCGGGTAGCTCATCAGGCCTCTTCAGCGCTTGCAAGAGCAAGACCGGCGGAATCATGAGGCATATATTCGATCCGGCGAGATCTTTGAGGATAGACAGCAAGCATATGAGAAGATGACGAAGAGTTATGAGAAGTTGATCGCCAGTTGCCAGACGTGAGTTCGGAGTGACCGCCTGATCATCGACGGGACCTCTCATAAGGGTCTTTCAGTTTGTCTGAGCTTCTCTACCTACCAATGCCGACTCTCAAGACCACGACCCAGAAGTCCGAATCCATCCAGATTGGTGTGAATACGGGTTTGAATCTTCCGAGCGGAGAAGCTGAGTCCGTCGCGGGCGGTAAGTGGGAGGACGAGGAAGAGCGACGCTTTTTCGAGGATATACCCGATCTCAAGGACTATGTCCCGCGTAGCGTCCTTGGAGTGGAAGGCGAGAGCGACGAGAATGCTGAGGAGGACAATAAGGAAAAGGAGATCAAGGACAAGGAGAGGGTGAAAGAAGATCTAAAGAAGCTGGAGGAAGAGCTAGCTAGTCTGAAGGTCGATAACGAGGACAAGGCCGGAGAAGCAAGTGCCAACGGGAAGACGCAAGAAGATCAGAAGGACGATGAGGATGACGAGTGAGTTCAAGTTGCGTACGCTTTGCATTCGCTAAATCGGCCATCTCTTCCCCAGTGCGCCCACACCAACCCCCGGCACACCCAGGACTTCACCACCGACCACCCCACAGCTTGCCCCCCAAGGGCCGTCACAACTCCTCACTGCTCTCCTTGCGCGACTTCCTGATGCGACCAATCGCACACTGATTGATCAAGCTGCTGTCGACTTCGCTTTCCTGAACTCGAAAGCTGCAAGAAAGCGACTCGTAAAAGTCAGTCATGCTTGTACTTTCCCTCTCTCATCTGCATTCATTGATGGCCGTGACATGCAGTTCATGAGTCAGGTCCCAAAGGGCCGGACTGACCTACTACCCCATTACTCCAGATTCATCGCCATTCTAAACAAGTACATGCCTGATATTGGCTCAGATGTCGTCGCTGTTGTAAGCATTAGATTCTCTGCGACTATTTTATGAATTCTAACTGGGACAAACAGCTGGACGAGGAATTTCGATACCTACAACGTAAGAAGAAAGTCGTAATTGAGTTCGCTGAAGTCCGATTGAAGGTCAGCTTTGAGATCCATCAGCCTCCAAAGGGGGTCCCATCTGACTGTCACTCCGAATTAGAACATCACGTTTCTGTCCAACCTCACCAAATTCCTTGTCGTCCCTCCTCACCTCATCTTGCATATGTTCAAGGTATGCTTGGACGACTTCTCTGGCACAAACGTCGACAACGTCGCCTTACTGCTGGAAGGATGCGGTCGGTTCCTGCTCAGGAGTGAGGAGACCAGGGAGCCGTTCAGTAAGATGGTGAGTCTCTTCCAATTGTTCTCTGGGTGTAACTCACGTTGTCTGCTTGTAGCTCGAGTTGATGCGTAGGAAGCAAAGTTTGCAGCATTTCGATCAGCGACAGCAGTTGGTGTTGGAGAACGCATACTATCAGGTACATATATCCTGCTAGTCCGGTCTCACCGAAAGCTAAATTAGTTTCTCAGGTCAATCCCCCAGAGCGTCCCGCAAGGGTCGAGAAAGAACGCACCCCCATGGAGTTGTTCATTCGCCATCTGATATATGATGTTTTGACGAAGAAAACGATCGACAAAGTGTTAAAGCTCATCCGCAAATTGGATTGGAACGACGAGACCATCATGCGCATCCTTCACAAGGTGTTCACCAAGCCGTGGAAAGTAAAGTTTGGCAACGTCGCCCTGTTAGCGATGCTCACGTACGATCTGCAACGATATCATCCTGCGTTCGCGATTGCTGTCGTGGATCAGGTACTCGAGGATATCAGGAGGGGGCTGGAGCAGAACGCCTACAGCATAAACCAGCGCCGCGTGGCCACAGTCAAATATCTTGGCGAACTGTATATTTATCGTCTTGTCAGTTCTAGCATCATATTTGACACGCTCTGGACGTTGGTGACTTTCGGACATCGTAAGTCTGTTCTTTACGCGTATACCGACCTAAAGCCCCTGACCTTCGTGAATCCGGATAGCCGAGGGACGACCTCTGCCAGGGCAGCCGTGCTCAATCGACATGCCTGACGATTTCTTCCGCGTTCGTCTCGTCTGCGTCATCCTCGACACGTGCGGTATGTGCTTTGACCGAGGAACACAGCAGAAGAAGCTAGATACCTTCTTGACTTTCTTCCAAGTGCGAGAACTTTGTCTATGCGCACATAGTATGCTGACATAAGGTGATCAATAGCTTTACATTCTGTGCAAAGCACCGCTTCCCATGGATGTAGAGTTCATGCTTTCTGACTCCCTCGAGGTAAGCACGACAAGGCAGGACGTCACGCTATTAGACTATAGATTTACATCGTATGATAGGCTGTTAGGCCTAAGATGTCAACGTTCAAGACGTTTGAGGAGGCTGCAGCGGCCGTGGATGACTTGTTTAATCCAGTCTTCCAAAGTGTCGGAGGTGAGAGCTACGATCGTACATGAGATGTAAACCTCCTGAATAACTTCGCAGTCACGTCAGGCGAGGACAGTGGTGATGAGAGCGGCGACGAGGAAGATCAGGAAGAGGGAAAGAGGGGCGAGGCCGAGGATGAAGATGAAGACGAGCAAGGGCACCCGGAGTCTCCGGTGAGCGTCTCATGAATTCTGGAGTCTGCCCCAATGGCTCACCTTCTTTTCAAAGATCGACGAACGCGCGCCATCGCCAGAGGCCGTGGTGTTCAAGTCCGGGCAAGAGAGTTTTGGGCCTTCTGAAGAGGACGAGGCTGAATTTGCCAAGGAGCTCGCAAAGATGGTTACCGATACCTCTGCTGAGTCTAGGAAAGTTGACAAGAAGACTGCCTTGGCGCTATGGGAGTCGACGGTTCCACCACCCGTTCTACGAAAGAAGCGGAACGATGACACCGAAGATGACGCCGATGCCGCTGCCGGAGCCGGGGCTGGGGAGCACGATGTGATGAATTTTACATTGTTCACCAAGAGAGGAAACAAGCCTCAGGCACGTTCGACGACTACACTGTTGATGCCTCATACTGATGAATTTCCCCAGACGCGCCAAATCGCAATACCTGCTGAATCGGCGCTGGCAGTTCAAACACGTACTGCACAGATGCAAGATAAGGTCGAACAGCAACACCTGAAGAAGCTTGTCCTTGACTATGAACAACGTGAAGAAGCAGAGGAATGGAAAGGTCAGTTCCTGGTTCCCGATCATTCGTTGTGCTCATGCTGATCCGTCTGCAGCTCTCGAGACTCGTAACAGGAACGGCGCGATCAAGATACGCTATGTTGGCTAGTAACGACTGCGCTTTACACCCCTGACTCGCCTCGCCGTGGCTTCTGGTTGGCTGCAACGCTCGACTTCGCCATGGGTCTTCCGTGTGACACCAATCTAGCGCACGGAAACGCTCGCCAGGCGAATGCTATACCATATCTTGCTTGGTGATTGAGTTGGCTCCTTCTTGGCGTGGTGCAATGTTTGTCTGACAAATGCTGCTGTCTGCATGCATGGGTTGTTGATGCTCGTCCCTTAGCAGACGTCGCGACGTGTGCATTCGCTCTTGCGGCTGGCTGGCAAAGCACGTGCGGCAGATGCACAACGCGTCCTGCAGCGGGGTCGTAGCATGGCAATACTGTTCGATGTAGGGTGTTGCGTGAAGGAGGACTAGCAGACTTTAGAACGTTTGACATGTACTACATCAGTTTTTGCCAATGATTGTTTTCTCAGATACGTTAATACTCATGGCGTAGCGCGCACCAGGTTAACGCGTACATTTGACGCGCAATTCACGCGTCGGTGGCTGTGAGCGCCTGCGTCTTCCCTTTGTCCGACATTCATCAACCTCCTTTATGCTTCGTCTGTAACATATGCTGGACTCTGATGACGACCTCTTTGGTGCGTTCGACGATATAGACGAGACTATCATCGCCGCTGCCGACGAAGCAGAGAGCAAGTTTCTGGAGTCACAGCGCACTGTGCAGACTGGTCGCGTCCTTTCAGAGCCACAATCTCCCCCTCCGCCCAAAAGACAGAGGCTTGGCTATGGCTGGGCACCACAACCCCCGAGAATCGTCTCTTTGAATAGCTTTGATAGTCTCCCAGAAGTCTCCGTGTTTGACAATGGTCTCTATGACCTGGAGTCAACCAGAGATCATGCCTCAAGACTTGACGAGTCAGTATCCGTGAATCTCACGCAGGAACATACGCCGCCAATGTCAGTCATGTGCTCATGATATAGATGGAAAAGCTCTTCTATATCATTGGTTAATAGCTCTCAACAGACACAAGATGCCCCTGTCTATAACGTACCAATAACCAATGTTCAGAGATCGATGACAGAAGAGCCCGAAGGGAGGCCTAGGCTTTCTCAGCAGGCTCTTGAAAATGCATCCCAAGGTCATGCACCAGCGGCGACAGTGAATAGACAGAAAGAAGCTCAACTAGAGAAGGAGCTAGGGGCTCTTCGCGCCGAATTTCAGAAGGTTCGTAAGTATGTAGGTGGATCAACTCCTGACTGAAAAATCGACTTCAAGCTGAGAGAGGAGCAAGAGCTCGTGCAGAGGAATCTCAAAGAAGCGGAAGATGCGCGTTTGGCAAAGGAGGGAGAAGTTAGCATCTTGCGGAAGGGTATTCAAAAGGTATGCAATTGCATATACTACCATTGCGAGTGTGTAACGTTTCGTACTACATAGACGGCACAAGAGCATGCCGCCGAAATAACGAGAATCAAAGCTGCGAAAGAAGCAGCGGAGGCTATGCAGACCCAAGCTCAGAAACAACTAAAGGAAGAGATGGATCGACTGAAGACTCAATTTGCTTTTAAGGTGCGTTAAATAGGCACTACGACATATAGACGTGCTCAAGCCTTATTCCATAGCAACATGAGCTCGAGACATCTGCACGTAGCTCACCGTGGACCGTCCGGTCGAAGAAAAGCCAGAAGCAGGCGCCCCCAACTCCTGTAAAGATGCCTGCCCAAATGCGAGAGTGGAACGCAGGCCCAAGCAACCTGAGCCAAGGTTCCAACTATCCTCGTGACGATCCATTCAGCTCCCAGGGATTTGAGGTGCCTCGTCAGAAGGTCAGGGCAGTTGCCGAAAAGCCAAAGAAAACTTTACCGGGTTTTGTCAATGCCTTTGATTTATCTCCGCCCAAATCACAGCCCAAGAGCAAGGGCAAGAGCAAGGAGAAGGAGCAAAGCGTTATGGAACGCGAGGCGTCCATGCCTGGCTGGTTTCCTGCTCCGTCTAGTCAACGGCCTATCTCTCCGCCTCAGATGCACTCGTCTCCCGTTACCAGTCCACCGAGCACTCCAACGGGAGTAAGAGGCTCTAAGTTCCAACCGTTCGATAGGAATGTACGCGTTATGGGGCCTCCGCCTGAGAGGAACGTAACTGAAGATCCCATGGAAGTCGATTCAGATGACCAAGGGCAGGCAGTTCCATTAGAGGAGTCCCCGGCAGAAGAAACACTCGAATTACCATTCATGGACTGGCGCGCTGAGGTCTGTCCCGCTCCTGTGCTCAGCACATATATACTTCTCACCTTACCGCCGCGTATCCAGTTGCATCGAATTGTGATGACACACCGATATCCCTCATCGCCCACACTCACCATGCACCTCCTCATGAGCACTACCCTGTATGCCTCGGCATCCATCGAACAAGTGCAAACATATCGCATTCTGAATGACAAGCTTCTCGAGAATCTAGGCACAGCCATGATCTCAGGCGACGACGCAGATAGTGCCAACCATGCCCTTCTTTCGATCCTGGTAGGAATGGTTGGGATCTTGCACGCAGCCGCCATGTTCCCGCCCTTGACATCGCTGCTTCATCTGCTGCGTGTCCTTGCGCTTTACCTTCCAACTTTCTCGCATTTTGTGCTGGCACCGCCTGAACGTGACGATGCAGCAGACGACGATGACGCTCCGCAGATCCTTGTGACGTTGTGCGATATTATTCGGGTGCATGTCATCGTCAAGGATCCATTCCCAGATGAGCTGGTCGACTTAGCAAAAGAAACGCTCGGTCTACTCGAGGTCATAACGTGGACCATACCGGCGAACCTCGTTCCGCGGTGTGTACAACATAGCACCCGTCCTGCAATATTTGACATCCCATGTAGACTAGCATACATCCCGCGGAGTCCAGACACACTCTCCACCATGCTCGCCCCTGGTCTACCCACCTCCCTTCTGGCGCATGCGACCCGTTTACTAACACTCCTTGCTTCTCGTGAGTTGGGCGATCAGATCAGCGCCGGCCAAATCTGACATGTCTGTTAGATCATTCCCTTTTCAGACACTTGTTGGCTCTGCCTCCAGAGGCAGATTCTCTGACCCAAAGCAGCGCGTCACCCAATTTCTCCAGGTTGCCCCATATCGAGCAGCTCTCCGCCTACCTGATAGATACTTCCCGAAAGGGAGCTGAAGTGTGTTTCTGCTCCGTAGCCATAGTCTGTTTCTCATCGCTGACTTTCTTTTCAGGCTGATGCTCTTAAGGAGTCTATCCTTGCATTTGTTGCAAGCTTATCTGTTGCTCACGCCGATGCTATCACTATCCTTGTGCAATCTCAAACCCTCATCCCATCGATGGTCGTCTTCCTGACACAAGTGTCCACTCCTTTTTTTGAGGAGGAGCCTTCGTTGATGCGTTCTCCTGCAAGGGTCGAATCGTGCGTCCATATCTATTGCGTCATGAGCAACACTGACAAGAGCAATCTTACCACAGCGTTGTTGTCCTTGTTGTGCGGACTATGTCCCTTCTGTACAGCCTGGTTTTCGGCGCAGGGTCGTCGTTCAACCTACGGCAGAAGATCCTACTATGCCCCCCAAGCCGGCAGTTTCATGGAATACAGTATATGCTCCTAGTGACACTGGGCAGGCTGAGCTACGCAGAGCCACCTCAGACGCTTACTACAAAGCTGCAAAATCAGTTAGACCAGACGCTAGGTGTGTGTGTGTGTGGGCATCATCTTGTGGGGATCTGATTGACCTAGCCTTCTGTAAGATATGGCGAAGGGGATGCTCGAGCTGCTCGTGGACGGGCCTGAGCACGAGGCCATCTGGGCAGCATTCCAAGTCGATAAGGACGAGCCTATGAACAGTATCAAGACAGAAGATGACGACGAAGAACGGGAAGCACGCATACAGCTACCTGTCGAGAGCCAGGAGGTATAATTATTCCTTATCAAGACAACATAGTGACAAGCCCAATGTACCCTGATGTACCATTGATGTAAAATACCATGCAACTTAGTCACAATGCCTCATCCACTGGGTAGTCCGCCCTTACATTTGACTCGCGCCATTCGTCCACGCGCGACATACGCGTTTCAGCCAGCGAGCCTTCTTCGCGTCGAGGGCCTTGTCGGTACTCCTCAGTGCAGCAAGCTGCCGGGTAGCCAAGACACAGGTCTCGCTGCGGTACTTCGCAGCCAAGCGTCGGCGCAATTTAGTCTGCTCGGTGTCAGCATAATTTCTACCAAGACATAGACCTGGGTACTTACCACTGCAGGAGGATCGGATGATGGCACATACTCAGAATGAAGTGGGAAGGTGTCGTGCAACCAGCCGCGCGTCTGCCGAACCTCGACATCGCCGAAGTTCTCGAGCCAGATCTGCCAGAGACACTCTTCCCAATCCGCTGCGCGCGCAGCCGACCCGCCCTCAGGCGAGCTGGGACCGACAAAGAAGCGCTCCGTACACCAGAGAGGGTCGTCGCGCCCGAGCACCACCGGAGCCAATGGGGCGAAGGGAAAGCCACTCTGTCCGCGAGAAGTCAGGATTGTGGGGCGGCGCGCTGTCAGTCTCGGCTGGACAGCTTCGAGAGACGATGCCTGCGGCGACCAGGCAAGCAGCGAGCGGTAGAGCGTTTTGGGTGGCGTGGTGGACATATTCGCAGGGAACAATGCGACGCGAGAGGTCTGTGCGAACAGGCGCGCCAGGTTGAGCAACGCGTTAGGGTTGGCTGGTGCCGGGTTGCGAGAGCTGGAGTTTCCAGCAGGGCGCGTCAGGTGTAGTATATGCGCCGAAAGCGTCTCATTGAGGAGTATACTGTGCCGTTGGAGAGCAGCGAGTCTGCGCAGCAAGGCGGTATGAGGAGGGGAGGATGGCTCAGCAGTTGTAGTGAGCAATAGAGAAATTGGTCCCGTCCAGCGGCTTGCCCAAGCAGATATCAAGTGGAGGTCTTGATCTGTCGCCCAGAGACAAGCCGTTATCGTTGATGGATCCACGGATGCCTTGAGAATATACGGATCTAATGCCTTAGGAGGAGGATATACCTTCGTGATTTTGGATAATAGATGATCAATCGGAAGAGCCGAGAGTGGGGCTGCCTCAGATTCTTGCCGAAGACACATGAGAACGTTCCTTGATACTCGAAAGCCTGATCAACGTACCAAAGCTCTCCAAAGATGTCGACATGAGGCCACCTTCACTCCAGAAGTAATACGATGACATTGACCAAGGAAAGAACACGCAGCCCAGCAGACAGTACAGAAAAAACAGCCAGTGTATCTTCGAGACACGTTGGCGAGCAGGTTGAAGGTCTGCAGGAAGATGACGGTAGAAGCTTCGCAGCAGTCGGGTCCTCCAGGAGACCATGTCGTGCGACAAGGGATCCAATATGTATGCAGACGCCTTCTTTGTGCCGTCAAAGACCTGACTGAGATCGCGCAGACGATGTTGGGGGTTCCGAGAGCGAGTGTTCGAGTTCAAATTATCACTTTTCCGAGTCGAGTCAAAATCTGCAGAGTAGCTCTCCATAAGAGACGAGCGACCTCGCAAGTTGTTACGAAGACAGCGGTAACTTTCAGCAGGAGTGCGGGTTCTTTAACGCGTTTGGATCATAAATATGGGATGAGTTTCGGTCTGCAAATACCTCAGGTAGTCCAAAGGAGGTGGGCTGTAGAGACGATTGGATGACGCCTTGCGGTTAGCTCACTGATAGAGGTGTGGAAACAACCCACTCAGCAACTGCGAGGTCCCAAACGCGTTGGCAGCACGTGATCGCGACGCTATGGACTCAAGCCTGCATCGGATTTCTTCGCTCAATCCGACAACTGTCGTTTCCCGTGAATCTCCCATTAGCACTGATAAATACTAGTCCATGGGCCATAAACGAGTTTGAAGTCAAGGCGGTGGCTCTTCCGGGTGAACTCAGTCAGATGGACGCCTGTGCATAAGCGCTCAGGAGTGCCGGGCGCCTGAGCACCTAAGAGACCATACTTATCCTCATGTGCTCTCATATTCTGCCTGCTTACACTCCAAACATCGGTTATGGAGGATGCGATAGCTGTTCGACGTGTGCCGCTAGACCTCACTTATGTGACTTGTACGTGTCCGCCCAGTGCACACAGCGCATCACCGTTCACAACACACAGCGGCCATGACCAGACCATGAATCTTCGACCACGTCCATCGTGCTTGCCTTGCTGACACTCAGCCCCATCCTCATCAATGTCAGTGCCCTCTACTATAGGTATTCCAAGGAAACTGAAGTTATTGCCGTCACAGCCCGCGTATGCGGTACTCGTGGTTCAGACGCGTGAGCTATTCTTTCTTGAGATGTGGGCCGGGCAGATGCTCTGTGAAGCATTCAACTGGGGTTTGAAACACATCATCAAGGAGAAGCGTCCAAATTGTGAGTCCATTTATCAATATGCACCATCCCGCACACATGATTGTTGTGTGCTCCTGCACGTCAATGAGTATCCGAACTAATGCCAGACATTTAGTTGAGCTGGGCGACGGCTACGGCTTCCCTTCTTCACACAGCCAATGGATGGGCTACTTTGCGGCGTTCTTGCTCTGTCACATCACCTTTTGCCACCGGTTCGTATCAACAGGATACCGACTGCTTGACCTTGCCTGGAGAAGCCTAGTCCAGCTTTTCATCGTAGGCTGGGCAGGTGCTGTCGCATATTCTCGGTTGGTTGCATGACTGCACGCTCGGTACTTAACATATACTAACCCGCAGGCCGAACTCGTGTGCAACAGCTACCATCTATCATACCACAGCGCTCATCAAGTTCTATGGGGTGTATTGATCGGCGCATTCTTCGGCACATCTTACTACACCGTCATCGAGCTCATTCCCTGCAAGTATCCAGCGTCAACTCTTGGACAGGTCCGTGCGGCCGTGCTCTCAAACCCAATCTCCTCTTGGTTCAGGCTCCGTGACGGATGGGCAGTGTGGGGCGATAGTGGGACGGAAGACCAATGGCAACGCTGGCGAAGCGAGTGGAACAGACGAAGGTTGCAGATCCAAAAGGATATAAAGCGCGAATAACCGTGGACATTCCGTTTGCAGCATACACGCGACAGCATGTGCTTGAACTTCGCTTGGAAATATGATGTCCATGGACCAGCAGTAATATTGACCTCACTGCAGACTCCGTCATGCGCTTGGCAGTTGTCATCGTAGACTGATGGTTAGCCCCGTTCGTTGGCGTTATTAACCCTGTCCACGACATGCAAGAGATCGGAGACGACTTCTATGCTACGTAGGTCCTCATTAGCCTCCTTCATTTCGCCCTCGCCCTCAGGTCCTGGTCGTCTAAGCAACAGCGCTGACAGCCCACTCTGCTTCGCACCGAAGTAGTCTCTAAATATGAGCGATCAACGGAAATACGAGCAGTACAATGAGACATGTACGTACGCGGCGAGCTCGTCCCCGACGTGTAAGGCCTCGTGCATACTCACTCCTACACGCGAACATGCACGGAGAAAGATCTCACGCGAAGGTTTCTCTATGCCTTCTTCCTCGCTAAGAAGCACAGCGTCTATGTAAGGAAGTAGACCGAGGTCTTCAATCACGGCCTCTGTAGCGAGCATAGGCATTGTGGTGTAAGGGACAAGTATAGTGAAGCAGCCAGATATCCCACGCACGCATTCGCACATCAGTGTTGCTGATGACAGCGGTGTGCACGCTCATGCTCTTCAGACGCTGGACTGTGGACCATTGGATGGTACACCGGCATCTTAGATCTCATCGCTATCCAGAGCATCGCAAGGAGATCTGGACGCACGCGTTGGTAGAGAATCGTCGAAGAGCTTGTAACCCTCTCTCGACGCGAAGCGATGCAAAAGTCTCGGCACAATCTCACCAAGGGACTTGTCGACGACTGCATGGAACGGTCATTGTACTTGAGCAGGTGATTATTAGTCCTGCTAACCTTCCTGGTCTGCTCCTGCACCAATAGCTGTGCGGCGGATGACCTCGCCCCACCATTCCTGGGCGCCGCTCTGATAGACGGGCTTCTCTGTCTGGAGTTGTTTCAGGGCTACAAGCCGTATGTCAATCCTCATGATACGCATGATTCATATCATGTAGAACTTTCACCCCACGAGGTGTCCAGATAGCCAAATTGTACACGAACGCACCTGTCTTGAAGGAGTTCTTGAGTGCCTCAGGTTCCAGTACACCGAGATAGGGCTCAAAAGTCTGAGAGTACTGAACATAGATAGGACGACGTGGCTTCAGCAACGTATGGAGCGCATCGAAAATGACCAGCCGAATGGCCATCATGCAGTACTGTACGCCGTTGGCAATGGTATGAATAATGCCATGATGCGGGCGCCTAGTTGGCAAGCCCCCGTCACACGTCGCGTTACAGTCGCGTTACAGTAATGCATCACGTGCTGGCGCGTTGCTTTTGGCGCTTAGGCACACACTAGCAGGCTTTCATGAAACAACCACTTCCCAAGAAGCTATTCTGCAATATTTTCGTGTTTGACTCGTACTCTGGAATAAGCCAAGCTGAGATTGAAGCTGGGTCCTCAGATGCCCTTTCTCAAGCTAGACTTTCCTGAACATGAAGGCATAACCGGTGCAATGCCTAATGTGCTATAAATAACAGGCGTAAGGGCCTATCGGCAGATCCACGACGGCTCTTCTAGTTGGTCAGTTTTTCTTGATTGATTCGGACTATTCAATAGCGACTGTCTAGTGTGTACCGCGACAACAATTTGATGTGTCCTACAATCACAGGCTACCTGTGATTTAGTAACTCAATATATAATGCATAGCTCACCTGGGACAGAAATGCTTGAAATGTGGGCTGGTCAGAGCTTGTGTGGCAATTCGCAGCGGCTGGTTCACTCAGCATGAGTATATACCAAAGCATCCTCGGACGATGAAGACGACGAGGCGTGAGCAGTGCCCGCAGCCCGCTGCACGGCGGGTTGCTCCTCGGCCCCCCGCGTCCTCCCCTTCCCCATCTGCGACCACCACCGCGTGCACCGGGGGTGCTATTCCGGCTGGGGCCCTCGGTAGAAGACGATGGCTTGCCGACTCGGGAGGAGTTTGGCTTTCTTTTCATCCTTTTTTCCTTTCCTTCTTTTCATCTGTCCTTGCTCCCCGTACCTACGCGCGTTGGATGTCTCGGACAGTGCGATTGCACCGCGCTCTCTCTATACACTCATACCCTTCATTGGCATCCGTACATTACTTCATGCGCTCTACTATACGACCCCGTAGATACCTCACACGACAGGGGTGCCGCCGCCCGCGTTTCGCGGGCCGGCGCCCGCCGCGTCTTAGCACTATATGTTTGCTTGTTGCGGGATATAAATGTAGATTTCATCATCATCATATATACCAAAGCAGTAACAGTAACACTCGAGGGGGTGATAGTAACACTCCGTCGAGTGTAAATAGTAACGACCGTCATTGGTCACGTGCAGTAATATGGTGCGCTACTGGCGCGCTTTGACGCGCTTTGCACAGCGATAGTAGCCCATACATCTAACATTGTGACATAATAAGATTCTTCTTTATTCCTGCTACAGGTCCCGGGTCATTCGCGATGTCTAGTAGTACAAAGTTCTTTCAAGATATACCACCTAATCCTAACCTAACCTAACCGAACCTAACCGAACCTAACCTAACTTAACCGAACCTAATTCAACTTAATCTCACTTAACCGAACCTAACTGCCAAAAAGGGACATGTCCGGATTGGGAACAGTAGCTGCAGTCAATGGATGTATCACCGATTTACGGTAGCCAGCCTCAATGACATATCACCCTGCCAAGTACAACTCTGACTGTTACTAATTTGCTCCAACATTTCCGACTGTTACTATTTTGCTCCAGCTTTTAGTCAAAGTAGTAACACTCGGTGAGTGTTACTGTTATTACTCTGGTCATCCCTCACTCAGCACGAGCATCATGCGGTGGTCAAATTCAACCCTCGATCGAGATTCGATCGACCGTCGATTCTTTGTGGCAGCGGCAGCTTTGCGCCACCGACATTGTGTTTTTGCGTGTTCCCCGCTGGTACTGGATCTGTGCCACTGTACAACCTCGAAAGTAAACGCACTTGTGCACTCACATGCCATCAATAGACAACGGATGCATGCCTGATACTCATGAGCAGACAGATAAATGGGTAGGCTCGATCAAAACAGATCCAGCCAGAACGATCGGTCCATTCTGGCCAAACCTCGGCATCAATCGGGTGACGATCAATCTGTTTGTCGTAGTAGTTGCATCCCACGCTTGTATATGCTCAACAGACCTGAGAGGATGTTCTCCCTTTGCTCTTCGCATTGGACAAAGCGGCACAAGAGCATGGCTCCGACTGGCGACGCTCGATGGGATATGGCATCGCTGATACCCTATGCGAAAATATGCTGGAGACACTGGTGTACCATCACATGCCACTTGCGGGACACAGTAGACGATTTGGGGCTGAGGCAGGTCAATTGTTCAACAAATTGCTGATCGAGAGCTGCAGGCGCGTAACGCGTTCACCATGTATGGTGTGATGATTACATTCATTCCTACATCTACGAAAGATACGGCGATCCATACCCTCTGCAATAAACTTCGCCGTCCTCACCAGAGACGAATGAGCAAAGTATGATGGGGCTCCACTTGCCTCCAATGTAAAAATAATGGAATTAGAATACTTGCGAATATAGATGTTGTTTAATTACACCATCTTGCTGTGTCACCAGGTGGGCACTCCTCGAGGCGTCAGACGGTGCGAATCGCAACGGGAATGGAGCGTTTGACGTGCTAAAAGTAAATGTTCGTCGGAACGCGTGTGAGAGTAACGGTCACGTGGGCGCGTTTCAACGTCGCCACCGGTTCGAAGCCTCGAGATTGTTAATGACAACTTGATCACCAACAATTATCGTATTCCCATCGCTTTAGTCCCTCCTGAACCAGACCAATCCTACAAACCCCTCAAGCGCCTCTCGCCACCACCGTGTATACTACTGCTGAAACTTCTCTTGAGGATCAGAGGAATATGTTCTTGCTCGATCGTAATGCGCTTCGGAGACGCAGGCTTCTATACGAAATACGAAATATATGCAGATGCTCTTTATTTCTGCACCATTCAATTGTTAAATTTCATCAGTGGTCACGTCGGATTGTCCACCAGGTCTCTCAAAAATTGCGTGACCGTGCAACGTAGTTGCCCATGGGATCTCAGCCTCTTTCTCCTTGTCATAGTCAACTTGGTCAAGCGCTTGCGTTGGATTCTTCAGCGGTCACCTGCCAGCGGTCGCTGGCGCAGGCTGTGCCAGGGTTAAGTTAAACTCACCAGTATGCGATGATGGTATATTGCGGGCCCTTAGGCGCATACATAAAATCTACAATACATGTTCTACACTTCGGTTTGCAGACACATCGTCCGAGAACGGCACAGAACGACCCCACAGCCGCTACATGCAAAGCTGAACAACAACGAATATCAGGATAACTCCAGCAATTGTAGCAGATACGAAGCGACTAAAAAGAACAATACAGATAGCTTTCGATGAGACGGCGCAAAGCAGCAAGTCCATGAGGAAGGATGCGAACAGTGACGCGTGGCGACTGAGGTGATTGTGAGACAGCGATTGGAATGAGCGAGGGTCCTGATACAGATTGCGCAGAAGCAGCAGAGGGCCAATGGATGATGCGAGCCGGTGACGCAGTCGCCTGGCATACGCAATAGATATTCGACGGTGAGAGACCAGTTATGACAGTTTCGACGGCAGCAGGCTGTTAGAAAATCGTGGCGAATATGCGATGGTGGGAATGCTCAAGGCAACGTAGTTGGGATGGGATGCCTTCAGCGAGCAGACATGCGCGGCGGATGAGGGCGTCGGTGGAATAGCGATGGACTCTCGCTCGCTTCGCGCCGCTGATAATTAGGACCGGGCACAAACAATGCGCCGCGGTTGTGGGAGCTCCGCTCCTTCCTGCGCAGGTGCGTCGGCGCGGGGAACGGCTCCGGAAGACCCTGGTCCGGTCCGTCAGAATAGAAGATTTTGGGGCGCCACGACTCGCGCTCGTCCATTATGCAAGAGTTCTTGAACTTCTCGACGAGAGCCTCCTTGCCCCTATGACAACGGTCAGAAACAGTCGCAGTAAGTAGTAGGTGAGAATGAACGCACTGATATGTGGCGTAGCACATCTGGAGGACCTTCTCGCTCGAGTACATATTCCTGTAGGTGGCTGTGAGTTTGTATCAGAATCATAAGGCCAAATAACTCACCACTTGACGCCGAGCTGGGTCTTCGCGAAATGCAAGAGATCTCCCACAGTGATGAAGTTGACAAACGCATAACCAACGTTGCATCCTACAAAAGCCAATTAATATCTTCGCGTTGCAACTGTAGCCATCCGACCCACCGTTCTGGAAGTCCATCCTCAGGTATAAGAAGTCGATGCGCCTAGGACACACTTTGTTGATGAAGGCGAGCAGGTCTTTGTCGCTCATCTTGTTCGGGATGTTCTTGACCATCACCGTCGTGCGCATGTCCTTTCCCTGTTCTATTGCGCCCACATTGAGCTGGTTCTTCTCGCTGATGTTACCGTTGCCTGCGGCGGTACCACTGTGCAAGCGACTATCGATAGCGCTCTGCATGTCGAGCGTTGCGCCCGGGGAGACGTGCCCATAGGACGCGTTCGTGTGCAGGGATTCGTAAAGTCCGTACTCCTCGGGACTGGGATCGCGGCGATGATTTTGTCGCTGATGAACTGCGCTTGAGGGCTTCCTGGAGGTGGCAGGCATTGGATGATGGTACATTGCTCGAGGCGAAGGTGGGATGCAATACTCGATGGCTGGGACAGGAGGCGCAGCATACGCCCAGTGAATGTTGGCGACACTCGGAACAGTGGCTTCAGCATATATGCCGGCCTGCGCTGGGTAGGAGACCGTCGGGAAGGCATAATCCTGCGGAACATACATCGCAGGCGAGCCCGTGTAAGGCTGGGCGCGGGGGACTTCCGCGAATTGATGGGCTGGCGATGGGGGAGCATAGTGTTCGCTCGTACGTTGATGCCTGGCAGCTCCAGCCAAGTCATCGGGGCCAATACTGATAGACCTTGGCCTAGAAGGTGTCTGAGGCGAGACGATCACCTAAGAGTACTCTCTGTCAGTTCTTGAGTGGCGACTTATCAGCAGCATGAAGAGTCACCTTGCCGACAGAATCAAAGAATAGGTCGTTGGAGCAACGACGGCTGTGCTCCTGAGGCGATTCCCTGCCCTTCCATAACCGCCGTACAGCATCCGGAGCGCCGATGCTTTCACTAGCACTAACACTGCGGGGGCGTACCCGACCTGCAGATAGTCAACTGGGTAAGTATTCAGCACGGCGATGTATGAATATACTGGCCTTGTGTGAAACGCATCTCTCTATCTGCCTGCTGCTTCTGCTCCTCAATGGCCTCCGTAGATCCCAGTAACAAAGAAGGTTGATATGATGGGCTGGTCAAGGTGGTAGTGATTTGGAAAGGGTCATCCGATTGAGTAGGGCACTCGAGCGGCAGATCTTTCTTCGCATACAAATGCAAACGGACGCCGAGGAACGTACGACTGTGCAAGGCGCGATGAGCATTGTGTGCATCGCGTATATCGTAGTATTCAACATGGTATGTCTATCAAAAAGATATCAGCCTGTGACATGGTGGAGCGGCGGCGTGAACGTACTTGATCATGTGGGTCCACCAACTCGAATGATTTGAGTTCGCCGAAAGACGAGAGAAGATTTTGCAACGCTGGCGCCTGGAAGCGGTGGTCCCCAACGGAAACGAAGAGCGCACCATCAGTCTCGTTGATGAAGGAAGATCTTCCAATGGTCTGAAAGGAGGTGGGGGAAAGAAGTGGATCACTGTCAATCCTCCGCAGCGACAGCGGTATAGGGACACATAGACTCACAGCCTCCAATTGCTCTGTGTTCACAAACCTGGCATCAAGACGAACTTCTTCCAAGCCTGGCAAAGACTGGCTAGGAATTTGCCTCTGCGCACGTATCGACTCGCGTATATCGAAGAACGCGATGATGATAACGCCATGGGACGCCTGGAAGCGCACCAGGATGCCCTTGATATCGCCAAGAGGAGCGAAGGAGTCGTTCAGCTTGGTGCCAGACGCGGATTTGGGCACATTGCGGACCTAGTGGTGCATATAGTGAGCATACACACAAAATAACAGGATATATGCGATATACACATAGACGGAGTACGACTACTGACCAGGAGAAAATGACTGGGCTCGATTTCGCCTGTACTGTTGCTAAAATCGATATCCACGGATGAGGCGGACTCAGCAGGCTGGCTAGAAACACAAAAGCTGGCTTTTCTCTCGTCTCGAGGGGTGATATCCGTGTCAGCCAATCCGGCAGCAAGTGCAGATACGGCATCGGGGCCAGCACTCGTCGCAGAAACAGCATATCCAGAGTCGGTTTCTGACGACATCGAATGCGAGCGTCCACTGGATGGCGTCAAGTATCCCCCCTGCGGCAGTGGCGCGTGCCCTTTCAAGGCCGTGGGAGAGTCAATTATGGACGAAGGACCGTTGAACGTCCTGTCGGTGGGGTATACACAACGCAAGGGAGAATTAGCCTCGGGAGGGGTGGACGGCCCATCATTAGTAGTAGAGTTAAACGACGACGAGGGGGTCAGTGGGGGAGTCAGCAGGACAGCGGGACGGCACGGAGAGCCAGAGGTGCTTCTTTTGCTCTGGGTATACTTCGACTTTGACGGAGATGTGTCTGGCGTGGCCGCAAGGTCGAGGGGTCGGAGATGAGGGCGATATCGCGCTTGAAAGCGTTGCGCGAGGCGAGGGGGCGCAGACCCAGGAGGAGCGGGGAGCCTGCAGACGATTATAAAATCAAGACAAAATCAGTATCGGGGGTCAATAAAAGGGGATTAAACTAGCACTCATGCATATACACAGGGCATAGCGCGAGACGTACCAGAGGTTAGGGAGCGAGGGGGAGGAATGGACACGGGAGGACAGAGCAGGACGAGAGTCCGCATTGTGAGTCTGAGATGAGAGCGATAGAAGCGAGATGAGCCGAAGAGAACGGTGCACGCGGGATAACGCATCGATGTGAGAGGAACAAGAGCACGGACCTCCTCCGCCTGAAGAGGCAACGTAGGGAAGGGGACGGGGGAGCGGTCCATTGGAGTTGAAGCAAGCGGGAGCGGGTGAACGGTCGCGGAGTTGGAAGTAGCAGCAAGAGGAGGATGCAAGGAACGCGCCCGAACGAATGACGGACGGCACAAAGACAGATCAAACAAGCAGCGGCGAGCGTTCGATCTGAAGGAACGGAGACGGACACGCGTGACAAGCACAAGACAAGAGCACACGGGGCAAGAGCTGAGCCTGGGCCGGGGGAGCCCGTCGGTGCAGGACACGGGTATATATAGCTGGGGGCGGGGGAGGGCGAAGGCGAGGGGAGGGGCAGGTGCGACGGGCGTTGTGGGATCACGCGTCGCGGCGGGGGACAGGACGTGCACTCAAAGAGTAGAGAAGCATCACATCCGGGCATACAATCGCACAGATCCCGGCAGCGGTCGAGGGCTCCCTCGAGGCGGATCCCGCCGCGAGCCACCCCCTCCATTCAGCAGGTCTGTGCCGGCCACCCGCGCCCTCGTCCACCCCAGCGAGCGCCCGCCTCCGCCAATCGCACCCCTCCGTTCGCCAGGAATGATAGCCTCACCGCCCGCCGCCGCGTGTCATCGATGCCTGTTCCGGGCCAAACGACCTGCCATTCGAGGCGATATCATCGGACACCATTTGTCGCCGTCCCTCCATGTAGCGCCAGGACCCCAGAACATCCTTGTCTTTCGCTCGTTACAATTCGCCCCCTTGTTGAATGCAGGGTGGCACCCCATCGCTCGCATTCATCTAACCTTGACATAGCCGCTCTGTCACACAGCGCAGAAAAGAGTCAGAAATGTGGCGTCGGCGCCGCCCATATGGACCATTACCGACCGTGGCTGCAGGCCGCGGCGGTCATCGAAGCTTGGGGGCAACGCGGTGCATCCGGTCGCATCTTTAATAGCTCTCTATTTCCCAAGATCTGTAGCACTGTCACGGCAACCTAGCCTTGGAGATAGTGACATCTCTGCGAACACGACAAATCAAACATTCATTAAGGGCGCCACTGTGGGCGTTCCGGCCTAGCCTTGGCCCTCGGCAAGGCAGCTGAGAACCTTGCAGCTGGGTCACATACGTTTGGCTCAAGTGCGCGTAAAATACATGAAGCGTGCGTCTTAAGCTTGATTGGGACAAACCTACAAGTCAACTCAGTCGTCTCAAAAGGCAAACCGGGATCCCAGGACAGGCCACTGACCCGTTGAGGGATATTCGGGGGCCGCGCATCGCCGTGAAAAATGGTCGTTGCCACCTAAAAACGTCATCCGTACGGTATTTCATACCCTTGTCCGAGATTCCCGTTCAAAGCGGCCGGTTCTTCGCTTGTTATGTGCAGAATCATTCCTTGTGGCATGTGCCCACTGCCAAATGCTGGGCCCGTCGCAGTTCTGCGTGGGCTCTTGTTTGCCCCTTGTGCTACTGCACAAGCCTAGCGGTGTATTTTCCATCAGCGGACAGAGCACAGCACGGCTGCGGACAGAGGTGCGGTCTTGGCCATCCGGCGACCTCAATAAACAAGAACATGGCTGCTGGCAATTGACAGCCGAAAGGGGCAGTTCCGTCGGCGTGTCAGGGTCGAGCAGTGATGGAGTGCTGGGAATCTGGCGCCAGAAGTGTCAACTGAGGAACACATCGTGCGGAAGCACTGCCGGGTGCATTTTTGGCTTCATACAGGCGTCCGATGACAGGACCTTCCATAACAAGCCTTGTTGATGCCCCGATCCCTCCCACGCCACAAGCGCGACAGAGCGCTGGTTGTGTCCAACTCGTCGCTGCCGCCCAACCGCAAACCCGATAATTGCGGTGATGACGCGGATCTGGACAGTAAGCTGACTTATAACGTCGATGGCTGTCCCGTACCACGCATCCACACGGTATGCGGCCGAGGACATGCTATGCTCTGCCGCCTGCGAGCATTCCAGGTGAACCGCCGAGAAACATTCCGATCGAGATGCGTCCTCGGCACGTGCGATGCCGTCCGCGCGCGAGATCCACATCCTCGTGGCGCGACGCGTCCAGTGTACCGACCGTCTTCTCGGCTTCTCGCAATTACGCCTCGAATGCTTCGTCGGGCGTCGGCCTCGAGCGACGAGCGTGCATCTGACTGCATGCATCTGAGTGCTTCCCCACAGCCAATCCTCGCACATGGCCGCGCCCAGCGCCATCTGGCGTCTGTCGCTAAGTATATGTCATCTACCTCACGTCGGAGGGCAAACCGAGATCGATACAGTGCGCGATCGCGCCCGAGCCTGCTGCAACAGCAGTCGAAATGCCCTTTTGAGCCGGCGTGACGCTGCAGCTCTCACCTGGCCTGACGGCGTCGGCGCCATGTGCGATATTTCTGGACGACTGCGACGTGCTCCACATGCTTCTGACGTGCAAGCCAAACTTTCTCCATCCTTCGGGGCTACCCTCGGCGCGCTCAACGTAGGCAGCCGCAAGAGAACCTTCAAGGTTTAAACTGCGAGCTTCCCGTCAGTCACTATGCCGCGGGTCCTGAACATTCCTGTTCGACCCCAGACGAGCAGACTCAGACTGCGTATTTCGGGTGTTCCCTCCTTTCATGATTGGCCACCGAACGCTCCAGGCGCAGTTTCTCCTCAAAGAGTGAACTTAGCGAACCGAAGCCGCGCAGATCGTCGATCAGGGCTGACATGAACACCAGCGTGCACGCTTCGCAAACACACGGCGAGCTTACACCGAGGCCTTCATCCTGAGGTCTTTGCAAAACGAAAATCGCATCAGACACGTCTGCCGATCCGCAGGTGCGCCCACGTCCGTTACGCTTATTAGCAAGTGTCAGGTCGCCCTCGGTTGACCATTTCGTGTATTTGCGTCTGTCGATCATCATGTGTCATAGGCGGGAGACGAGGCATCCGACGCAGAGCGAATATCGAAATTGGCATGGCTGATGGCTAATTGGATTCGCTCTATTTGACACCCATGGATGCCTGTGCACGAACAACGCATGTCTTTTCAGGCGACTTGGCGCTTAGTGCCTGCAACAGTGATCTATATCGCGAAGAGAGGTCCTTGTCTATCGCGTGCGTCAATGTGACCAGCGGACTGGGTGTTGTATATGCATTGATTCAAGTCGCACTTGCTCTTCGCCAGCTGCATAGCCGTCGTGCTTTCTGTTTCGACTCCCCATCGATGTGGGACAGTCGGTCCCGACTCCCGAGTCGCACTCCCAGCCCTCGTGTTTTGGCCTCATATTACCACCGCGACAATGTAAGTTGCTCTGAACGCAGTTCCATGCCTGTCCGCTTCGCTTGTTGATGCAAGCCTTTGCCTCCGCTCCGTTGTCAGCACTCTATCACGGACACTGAGTACTGAGGCTTTGAGGCCGTTTGCCATACCCGTGAAGCCGGAGGGTTTGTCACAACTGCAGCTAAGGGAGCGGGAGATGGTATTCTATTCATGCCTACAAGTGTACCGTATACGAGCACGCATGTTATATTTCTCAGATATTTGAGAACGTTTCTACGCGCCTATAAGCATGAATGGGAGCAGCTTGGTGTATACGCGTGCTCAGCTGCGTCAATACGGTAGCGCTGCGCGCAGAACAGCGCTCACGCGATTCCATCCGCGGACTGGTGGCGACACAGCCAGACCCTGCATGTGTCAGACTACGGACATGCTCCGACACGTCGTGAAAGGGGTCGAGGAGGTAAAGCAAGCCTGTTCCCGTGCTGAACTACTGTATATGCCATGCCGATATCCACATGTCCACCATTTAGGCTAGGATCCCGGGTTCCTTGGCGCCCCCGTCTTAAACACCACAAGTGCAGCCTTGCACGATGATCCGCTATTCACATTGTCCATGATGTCCCCGATGGTCTAATACTGATATCCGGAGCCTGCGGGGTCTGAGGGAGTATCCACTCTGCCTCTGGCAGGAGACTAACCCAATTCGCTCATAGGGCTGACACCAGTGACTAAACCACACACTCTAGGCGAAACGATGCGCCTATAAACCTCATAGTCGTTCGCCAATAGTCATAGGGGTTATCCACGTAAATGTAATGCGTCTTAACTCACTCGGTGGCGTGTTGCAGCTGCGGATCGCTGATTATGACTTTGTGGAAGATGCCTTTGCAAAGCCATTCAATCATCAGCATGCTGCAACTGGGGAAAGATAAAGCGCAATTCATACTATAAGGGTACAATATGTTAAAGTTCGTCCGAGACCCGAAGCGAGAACAAGGTGCATCATACCGGTGCCAGCCAAAGTCCTGATGGTGACTTCAGTGGGAACAGTAATCGTTATACCGTGCTTATATTTCATGGATGGTTTACGCAGAGTGTCAGCCTTCTATAGCAGCAGGACAAACACATCGGAATATAAGCTTCGCCCCGGCGCCTAATCCCAGCAATGCGCCACATTTCGTGGTGTTTCGGGCCCAGGGACTAGTACTGCTAGGTTGTCTATATAGAGGGTCTCCCGCCTGTGAGGTTTCCATTCATTTACATTGCGCTGCGCAGAGATTGAGATCAATGTTCACGAGTATGAGGAGTCAGATAGTGAGTCGAGATACGCACGTCTAGCACAGCCAGCACCTCTTCGTCAAGCATCCAATAACGACATGTCATCGCCAGCCACGACTCCTCTGGGACTTCGCGACGGCAGTACGGCGCATTCGTCTCAACAGCATGTTGGAAATACGCGTCCGAGTCCTCCGCGACTGTCCCATAATGGGTCTCTGCGATAGAAAAACGCCGTCTGCGCGCGTTGTCCTTGTGGACGTCCGGAGGCAAATCCGCTGGATTGAAATCCAGCAGTCCAGCCGGTGTCAGGGCCCGATAGCCATAGAAGGAATGCCGCCAGGAATGAGGCTCATGTGAACAGATTGTGTCTCCAAATCTATTATTATGAAACCAATACGTAGAATCCGGGCCCCAGTCGTCCCAAGCGACTGTAACGAAATTTTGTTTTCGGGCACGGGCGGGCTTCCAGGCACGGATAACAGCAATGATAGGCTGTGTCCGAACAAATACCTCGTATGTCTGCCCGTAATCTTCGAACGTGATCTCGAGGAGGACCATCAACGGATCCGGAGCGGAAATGTAGGGCCGGGGAGGGAACAGCGGTGATGGCTTGGGTTGGAAGCAACCAGATGCAAATGCTTGACACGTCGTTTTGACGCCCCGGGTCTCCCGAGGGCACGGCAACTCGAATATGGCCGCAAGCCGGAATTCACTTCCGGATTTCTTTGTCTTCACGTAGGCGTATGCGTTAAGTGATAACGTTCCCGTTTCGCGGAGTCTGGGAACAAGGAAGCAATTTGCGCTGATCATGCAACCACGCTGGTCTGACACAGACTAGACTAGATTCTTAATATGGAATGAGACGGCTCGACCGACAGGAACGCACATTCACAGTATCGCTCTTCCACTCAATGGTCGCTTGTTTGGTATTGATTGACGAGACTGTGATCCAATCGCCGAGAATGTGTACCGCATCTTCGTCAAATTCATCGGGGAGAGGAATGGTAACCGAATGTAGAGAGGTTTGCTCATGAGGAGTGCCGTGGCAAAGAGACAGGCAAGTCATTCTACAACGATAATATAAGTGATAAATTACCATGCGGATCTATGGATTGAGGTGAAAGCACTCACGGCAGACCTTCTTCTTTAGTGTCAAAATGATGAGCCTCCCATAGCACAAGCAGGTCTTGTGCCGGGTCTATGGCAAGACCTGTGAAGACTTTACCAAGGCGATGTGTGCGATGAGCTTGTTCTTGACCGGTACATCGAACAAACAACACGTCGAGCATATTGAAATAGCTATATTCACCGTCCTCGAAGTCATGCTCGCCATCGAGATAGGCGAGGACAAGGACACTGCCGCGGAATCTCCACAGCACATACTTATTTGGAAAGGCATCATCCTTGAAACTTTTCTTCGTGCCGAAGTTGAGGTCTCTCCATGCAGCTTGCGAGGTCTGCAACGTGAGAAGGCGTTGGGGAACTGGCAACCGGTCTGAAGGACAATCCACACAGCCAGTCCTGGCTAACTCGATAGAGTATTGCAGGCGTTTTTCTCCGTGGATTAGTTGGTCGTATTCTTTACAGACCTTTAAAGAATTGAGTAACAACCATGCGACAAAGATATATGTGTACCAATCGGCACTGTAGGAGTTCATAAACATCCAGCAGGAGTAATATTTCGAGGACAAGCTCCATTGGTAAGTTGACAACACGTGGCCTCGCCAGTTTTCCAGAACGCTTTCTCTTTGATTTCGCCATTCTGTTCAGGGTTCCAGGATCGGATTGATCCACCAAAGAATCCAACGAAACGAAGTGAGGCCGAGTACGGTCGTGGAGATGCGGGAGACGTCCGGCGCTAGCCTGAGTGGCTAACTCGCCGATCAATATTAAGTGCCACTGATAAGTATTGTACGTCCCAGACTTAAGTGATATTCCCCGTCCCGGCCGTGTCGTCTGCTCAGCAGCTCGTCTCCATCTCCCTGGACACTCGTCGCCAGAGACGTCTCAGAATTTTGCCTTTTTTGAATAAGGTCTGAAATCGTCGGTGATTTCTTCAAGTTTAGTGCTCTCTACTATTGCGACTTTCTCTGAAGCAGCTTTACTTAAGCATAAGAGTCTCCATCCTGCTCAATATCACTTCAGTTTACGTTTGTTACTACAGCACCACCCCAAAATATCTCTGTCGTCTTGTTCTAACCTTGAAGCGAGCTTGACAAGCGACCTGTAAATAAATTATATCAACGACAAAATGGGAGAAGGAAGAAAAACACACTATCAGGTTAAGCACTTCGTTTGTGTGCGCAACCTGGCTAAGCTGTCTTTAATCTTAGCGTATATGATGGGCCTAGAATCCTCAGGACACCGTGAGGCACAACGTTCGAATGCAGTGACAATATTGGGGGGGAAGATGGCAGAGTCTATTTGCGCAAGAGCGCTGCATGCATTAAGGACGTCATTCAGTCGCGCCCATCCATCGTCTGTAGTCAATTCCCGTGCGGTAGGTTCGATCGCATCCGGACCAAAGTTTTTGGCTACTACAACTAATGCGTCTTGTAAGTCTCCACGAACGTCTGCAAAATCGGCTTCGGATAGTCTTGCAGCGATTCGTATAGCAAAACTTGATATCTGTAGAAATCTTTGGGGAGTGCAGGTCGCACGCACAATCGAGAGACTCGAGAGCACTAAACGCGCGTCTAGCGAATATTTCGTATGAGCAACTGAGGTTCCGCAGAGATAAATATGTGCGAACCATCTGTATTAATAGCATACCTGTCACCCGCTAGCTGAAATAATTGTGCCAACCGATCGTGAACGTCGTCAGACACATCGATGGTCGGACCAAGGCGCACGAGACGACTGAACACTGTAGAATTGGTTTGAGGAATTGCATGGAGAAGGTTCAGCAGCAGCCCGAGAATACGCATGAGATGTTTCGTATGACCTGCGTCATGGGACGTAGGGCTTGCAGCGATCCTTTCAATAATGTCAACGGAGATATGACCCATCGCGATGAGCGCCTGACCGTCCTGCTCGCTACGCGACCACTTGAGAGTGGGAGGGTCTGTCGAAGCCAATACTTCGTGCGCTCTGTGCTCCAGTATGCGATAAAAGGCGGGGAGGCAAGCAGGGAGATCTCCCCACTGCAGACAAGGTCGCACAACAGTGCGGAGGAAATCATCATCCCTGACAGTGGCATCTGCTTCGACCAGCATTAGCAAGGTGTCGTTGGCGCTCGCATTCTCTACTTGCGAGCGTACAGCGGTGTCGTCGAACTCTTGCCAGCTTATGAGTCTCGGACGAGCCCTCTGCGCACCGCACCAGTCTGATATGGCATTCTGCCTTCTCCATGTGAATATACGTTGAGACAGAGCAGGGATAGGCAGGAATTGTCGACACCATGTCCAGGTCGTGAGACTCGCGAATCGCTCAACGATCGGCAGGATGAGATCGAGAATGTGCTGGATGACTAACACAGACCACCATGCAGGCTGAGACTTGTAAGGACAGCTAGGTGAAACTGCTGGGAAGAACGTGGACAGGATTGAGACCGACAGTAAGACCAGTATGAGCGCTGTGACGATGCCCGCAACGATTGGATTAAGGGTCCAGAGGAGCTCGACCAAACCGATGAGAAAGAGCGCAAGGGATGTTTGAAGGAGAACGGGGAGTAGGCTGATGATGAAAGGGACGTGCCAGCTGGTAAAACCCTGATGTCGGAAATACCAGACACGGACGCTTTGGCGTGACTTGGATGCGGCGTGATCGATATGATGGTGCAACCATTGGTTGACAGATATCGCGAGGGACGCAGCACTCAGACTGAACACGAGAGCTGAGAACCACAACGCATTGATAGAGACCACGTGAGAAGAGATTGGAGTAGTAGTCGAAGACGCGTTTAATTGAGCAAGCAGGGGCTGAATAATGTCCGTACTGCCGCCACTCGCGGCTACAGCACCAACCAAGATCAACACTGCTTGAGTCGTTGGATCGGGTGATTGCGGTTGAAGTGCCAAATAATATTGCACATTGAAAGCAGTCAAAGCGGCGGAGAACAGACCAGCCTATACAGGTGTTCTCTATCAATATTCAGGGGTTAGACACTTCGGTGGACGGTCGACAGCACTCACAAAAGTCAGTAGGGTATTGATCTCGTCCTTCCACTTCTTTACCAGAGCCTCTTCGCGGTCCCAGACCTCTCTCGCACATTCTTCCCATGCGTCGGAGGCATCCACGACGTCAGGGGTAGACTGCTTGAGTATCACACTGGGTACATTCACCTGAGTGATTGCATGGAGGGATTCAGCTGGAACAGTCTGCTGCGACGCGACAATGCTATCGTCATGAATTGGGTTGTTCTCATCCTGGCGTATGAGACATGGATCGCTAGTAAGATCGGGGCATGTAGGACGCGAATTTCGACGTGGGCATTGGTCCTTCGCCGACGGTGTAAATAGGGTGTCATCTGGGGGGGACACGAACACATACCGCATCATGGCGTACTGTTCCTTCTGTCGAGTCTGACGGCGTATCAAGCGGGATGCAGATCTCCTCTAGTTGAGCATGAGCAAGAGGATGCGGCTCGCCTCTAGCACTCGCGCCAGCAGTCTTATACTGAGGGCAGAATGAATTCATTTCTGGTACAAGCGGTCTGGTACGAAGGGGGAGTCAATAGAAAGCTACCGATACATATGCTGACACAGCTATATGCTACAGGTTTGGCTGTCCTTGGGCGCTATGTGGCTATGCTTGAGTTCTGTGGGAAAAGAAGTGGTCGAACAAAGATGGCTCGGCCGACTTACCAGAATATTGCAGCCCAAAAAGTCCTAATTGCGCCTATAGAGGTTAGGGTCTGATACATTGCTACCGGACCTTCTCTGATACTCCATTGCTGTCAGCTCCCGGCATCTACAACGGCGCACCTAAACATGTGAAAGTCTCCTCTTTCTGCAGAGTTTCCTGACTGCTCGCCAGAGACACTCCGACGTGAAAGCGAGGATGAGTAGCGATGATAAGTTCGGAGTGGAAGAGACACAGAATGCGCACTGTCCCACGTATACGTGCTTTTTAAGAATCAGGTCCAACGATGGCATACTTCCAATGTGAGGACAGCAGTCTGACTTATTGAGATTCATGCCTGTCAACTTAATTTGCTGAAGGCCCTTCATGTCATGATAGGTGTGCAGGATAAGTGATGAAAGCCAGATTATGACAAACGATATAGATACAAATACCGGCTAACCGCACAAGCATTCGTGAGCAACATCTAGTATCGGTGTGTGGTCTTCGACGGTGGAGTCACAACATCCTCTACTTTGTCTCCGAGCTTGAGCATTGTCCAGCGTACGACTCGTGGATCACGTTTCATGAGGGAGTCAAGCTCTTTTAGTGTCCGTGGTGATGCGTCGAAGTGCATGGTCCAGTAGCTATGGGTAGTCCACGGTCAATGACTCAAATAACATGTCAGATACAAGTACCCACTCTCCAATCTGGTGATACGCTTGATGCCGCCGCATGCGCTGTGGAAGAGGAAGCGTTCCCCAGGAGTTTAACCTCCTCACTACACCGCCCTTGTTCATGACATGCATGGCAGTCTGCTGGACCAGCTCCTTGATGTGTTTCTGTGCGCGCAAGCTATCAGACTATCTTCACGCAGCGTCCCCAAGAACATACATATTCTGGATAATGTGCGGTGATACATAGCATCTGGTAGAAGGGCATGGCTGCAGGCTGTGGACGTCGACGTTGAGCTTGCGCTGGTCGCCGTAAGCTGGTCTAAAAGTCGGTTCCCAGAAAGGAATGGACGAGTTAGAGTCCCGGCCACGTGGCGCCAATCGAAAATGCATGTATGTCTGAGATCCACACAGCTCACCACTACTTCTTGGACTTTCGTCATTCCGTCTCTCGCCTTCCCCCACATTTGTTACCTTCCCATCAGCATATATTTACGTTGAGCAGCCATGGCCATGAAGGCGGTACGTAGCACACATACATGCTGACTGGGTCGTCTGACATCCCGCTGACACGGAACACGTCGCAGACCGTTAAATGTATGGACCCCGCGATTCGTTCTTTACATTGTCCTGAACATTGTGGAGTATCTAGCTGTAATCTCCGGTGATTCCCTCCTCTTGCGCGGAAACGCGGGGCCCGAGGGACAATTGCCCAAGGAACGGTACGTGTCATGATTCTTTTGGAAGTAACTATACACATGGAACTGGCTGTGCATATAGCGTCCTCCATTTGGCCGATATTGTTGCTCCTAGGCCGGGCACTGCACAGAGAGAGGATGAGGTACGTGCACGCAGCTTGCCTTTCCTGAAGGTATTAGTTTAGATTTCATTGCACCGGTACAGCCATGGGCCTTCGAGTCACGCGAGTTCCTCCGCGCCTTCATTGTCGGCAAACCCGTTACATTCTCCGTTACGCATGCACTTCCACCTAACGAAGATGTACCGCGCGATATCGGTACTGCAGAAATCGGGGGTGTAGACCTCGCTTCAGAACTGCTGAAGAATGGGTGGGCCAAGCTGAAGGAATTAAAGAGGGAGCCAACGGAAGACGATCTGGTGAAGCGGGACCTGGAAGCTGAAGCAAAGGCTTCGGGCAAAGGAGTATGGAACCCTCATGGCCAGAAGGTACGCCTTGTCTAGTGCTCAAGCCGTCGTGCGCTTATTAGCACGAAGGCTCGAACTGTGCATTATATGATGCCCACGGATTCACAAGGCTTCATCTCAGAGTGGAAGGGCCGCCAATTGGATGGTAGGCGTGTATTACAATACAGGGCGGTCAGCAATCTCACCACTGCTAACACAGCAATCGTCGAGCAAGTTAAGGATGGTTCGACGTTCCGTCTTCGCCTGCTGATGCCAGAGGGTGACCATCAATTCATTAATCTTGCCCTTGCCGGGGTGCGGTGCGCGCGCTCAGCCGGCCGGCTGGGCGAGGTGTCAGAGCCGTGGGGTGACGAAGTGAGTGTGAACCACTGTCATCTTACAATATCTGGACGACGCCGTTCATGTTTAACAAGTCGACCATTATGTAGGCTAGGTTCTTCACCGAGACGCGTCTTCTCCAGCGGTCAGTGCGCGTTCAGCTGCTGTCACTGCCGAATGCAACCACCACGCCTTTCCAATCTGCGGCAAACGCGACTGCCCCGCCGCCTGCCACCATTTTCATTGGATCCGGTACGCCGCTCCCTTCAATCATTTCACGAGCACCAGTTATTTACATCGTCATATGTACAGTGTTGCATCCGGCTGGCAACATCGCAGAGCTGCTCGTCAACTCATGTCTCGCACGAGTCGTAGACTGGCACGCTGGTATGCTTGCTGGCAGCGGTCAGATGGAGCGACTGCGTGCGGCTGAAAAGATTGCAAAGGAGAAGCGCGGATATCTATATGCCAACGTACCATTACCATCTACCAAGACGAGTGGTACGGCAGTGAACGGTAGCTCTCGCACATTCGACGGGACTGTTGTCCGTGTATGGAGCGGTGATCAAATTTCGGTCATTGACCGGGAGACAGGAAAAGAGCGCAGGTTGCAGCTCAGCTCGACAAGAGGCCCAAAGTAAGGAACATCGGCACGCTCGTCTCGAGTTACGGTCTGACACTGGCCCATGAGACTTTCGGATCCTAAACAGGCATATTATGCGCAGGAAGCACGAGAATTCCTCCGCAAGCGCCTGATTGGAAAGCACGTCAAGGTACATGTCGACTTCATTCGTCCAAAGGACGGCGAATACGACGAGCGGGAGTGCGTAACCGTCCGCTACGGTAATCAAAACTCGTACGTCGAACCCTGCTGTGGATCCTTTGTGGCTTTCCTTACTTCTCGAGGAAAGGAATATTGCCGAGCAGCTCATTGAGAAGGGTTTGGCGAGTGCTCTCCGTCACAGACGTGACGATGAGGACCGTTCGCCTGATTACGATAAGCTCTTGGAGGCGGAGCAAGCGTGAGTCCATTTTTCGGTTAGATTGTTTATGTATCCTCACCAGTGCACAGTGCTGCAGCAGAGGGGCGCGGTATTCATTCTGGCAAGGAACACCCTCCACCGAGGCAGCCACTGAACATTTCAGAGGTATGAAAGTTATGTCGTGTGATCTGCAGCCGTTTTGTTCAACACATTCAAATCTACACTAGTCGCATAACCGAGCAGCACCATTTATGAATGGCTTCAAACGAATAGGCAAGATTCCGGGCATTGTTGACTATGTCGCTGCAGGCTCTCGATTCAAGCGAGTATATTCTAGCCGTCACATGAGTAGCTACAACTGATGCACGTGTCCAGAGTATACCTGCCGAAGGACAACCAAGTCCTCACGTTGGTACTCGGTGGTATGTCTTTCCGAGTTCTGCAGTCATGAATATGTGTTGAGTTCTTTTTCAGGTATTCGTGCGCCACGTACGGCCCGCAATCCATCTGAAAAGAGCGAGCCATACGGTCTCGAAGCGTCTGATTTCGCTACGCGCCGTTACATGCAACGCGATGTTGAAATCGAAATACACGACGTCGACAAATCCGGTGGCTTCATCGGCGCGCTGTACTACAACAAGACCGACAACGCCGCAATTACACTGGTACGCGAAGGTCTTGCAACAGTTCACTCTTATTCCGCAGATGGTCTGTCGTGGTCGCGTCAGCTCTATGATGCAGAGGTACGTTTTCTCAATTTGTTCCTTTGATTATTCAGGCTAACGTTTCGCATGCCCACAGGCGCAGGCTAAACAGGAAAAGCGGAGCGTAAGTGGCAATTCTGGGATCGATAACTGAAGTTTTGACGTTTCCTCTAGGTCTGGAAAGATTATGACGAGACTGCTGAGGAGGTTCAGGAAGTCATTCCCGAAAACGAGCATGGTGCACTGAAACCCGAATACCTGGACATCATCATCAGCGACGTTCGGGACAAGAATGGCTTCGGTTTTTCTGTTCAGATTCTGAACACTGAAGGTAGGATGCTCGGTATACGTATCTGGACTGCCTTGTCGATGTACACATGTTCACAGGCATTGCATCACTTGAGAAGCTCATGCGTGATTTCTCGCTGCACCATGCAGGTGCTGCCCCTGCTCCTGGGTTTGTCCCAAGAAACGGTGACCTAGTGTCCGCCAAATTCTCTGACGGCTCATGGTACCGAGCAAAAGTGCGCCGTGCATCGCCCGTTAAGAAAGAGGCAGAGGTAACGTTCATCGACTATGGGAACCAAGACACCGTCAGCTTCTCAGACGTCAGGCCATTGGACGCTAAGTTCCGATCGCTGCCTGGCCAGGCTCACGATGCGCGCCTCAGGTAAGTGAAATGGCATACGTCAGCACAAAACAATTGTGCTGATCCTCACATATAGCTTTATTAAACTGGTAGGACCAGAGAGCGAATACTACCAAGAAGCTATTGACCGCTTCCGCGAGCTCTGCGAAGGTCGCAAGCTTGTCGCAAACATTGACCACCGAGAAGGTCCTGTACTTCACCTCCGTATCATCGATCCCACCGATCCCACCGCACAAACCGACCCCCTTGCATCTATCAATGCGGGGCTTCTGCGAGAGGGACTGGCCACCATCGACCGCAAAAACTGTCGATATCTTCCCGCGTACCCGAACGTTGTGAAGCACCTCCAGGAGGCTGTCAACCTCGCGAAGCGAGAGCGTCAGGGCATATTTGAGTTCGGCGATGTCGAGGACGACGAGTAAAATGGTTGACTGGTTGCAGTAGTGTATGTACCAGGGATGCGATGAACTCTGGTACCCTTTCCAGTCGATAACACGCTATCCCCATTCTCTCATATCTCTGGCGTGCCCGAAGCTGCATTTGACTCCCAATATTCGAAGACCCAGGATGCTGTGTGCGCACAGAACACGGTGCACGTGATTAGCATGGCTTTGTCAATTTGCCGCTCGAGTAGTACGCGAGCCGCCCTTCTCTCGTGTCTCAGCGATTGCTTTCTTCATTCTCGGCTTACAGTTCATGTCCTCGTCGCTGCTACAATTTGCTATGCTGTTTGTCTGATCTGCACACATTCCGCCACTCTCTGACAGCCTCAGTGTCCAAACTCGTCTATCTCTTCGTGATCTAAATACACCCCTGTTGGCAGGACATTTTCTTGGAGTCGGAGAGCGAATAAATGCTGAAATCAGCCATGGGTCGAATTGCCCCGACATTTACCTGTATACCGCCAGCTCGGCATAACCTATTGAGAACATGTGAGTTTTACTTGCAATTGTTGTAGTACTCCCTGACCAACGAATATTTGCCCCTGTGTGCTGTACTTTTGTTCGGTCGGTGAGTCCTATCCAACACCTCTCACCTGACGCCGCAAACCTGGAGGTGCTGCTACTCTACACATGTAATGTCTCTCCTCCAGTCTCAAGCGCCCTTTGCTGCAAAACCTGGGGCTCAGGAGCCTTCGAATAGTCTCGGTTTGTCTGCGGACGATCTCAGGGCAGAACATGCGCTGAGAGACGCTGTGCAGATGCTGAAGACTCCTCATCAGCTCCGCCTTTTCTTCGTGCACCTCCTTGTCAACGACCACGTCCGCTCCCCCATCTCTACCTGGCACGCATTCCGTGATGCATTCGCACAAGACTTCATCATCCAAAGCGACAACATCAATGTTGGCATCAATCAAGCATTGCAGGAGATGAGCCGCTCTCTTGAAGAGCATGGCAAATCGCTAGGCGTGTACGGCCTACCTGAACCCTCATTCCACGGTCGTGAGGTGGAACACGAGCTTGCGCAGTGGGCGGACCATGAGCTTCTTGCAACACGTGCTTCAAGGGCTGCGTCGAAGCTGAACGCAGAGCAGTATCATGTGTACACGGGAATCCTCAATGCTATCTCGGATGGGCGGCCACTTCGTGCTTTTGTCGACGGGAAAGCTGGCCGGGGAAAGACTTTCCTGGTACACGCAATATGCAATAAGCTACGTTCGGAAGGCCGAGTTGTGTTGGCTACCGCCACCTCAGGATTTGCAGCTCAACTATATCCAGGAGGTAAGACGACGCATTCAACATTCAAGGTGAGTGTGCATGCCGTAGAATGTATACTGTAAGTGACAATTTTATCTAGGTGCCGGTCGGCGAAGAGGATGAGGTGCTAGAGTCTCCTGTTGAAGCTCATGACCCTCGTGGCGAGCTTATACAAGAGGCGGCTGTGATCATCTGGGATGAGGCACCAATGGCAAACAGCGCCGTTCTCAAATGTGTCGAAGAGACATGTCGTCGCGTTATGCGCAATGACCTACCTTTCGGAGGCAAGGTCGTCATCCTCCTTGGAGACTTCCGCCAGACATGCCCAGTCATTCGCCACGGCACACGAAAGCAGATTGTGTCTGCGTCCATCATATCCTCACCCCTTTGGGAGCTCTTCTCCATGTATCGACTCACGCAGCCCATTCGTAACGCGGAAGATTTGCCGTATGCTGATTTTGTCGACTCCATCGGCGAGGGTGCTGGACCGAACGTCTGGCTTGACTTTCTTCACAAAGTCGGCGACAGAGACGATCTCATCGAATTCACGTATCCTCCAGAAGTCCTGCAGGATCCGGCCAGGTGTCTCAAACGCGCCATCCTCGCTCCTACAAACAAACAAGTCGACGACTACAACAACGAGATTCTTGGTCGATTCGAGGGTGAAAAGCGGACGTACCATGGCGCCGACTCTTTGAGAGAGGAACGGGTGGTGGACCCTGCTATCCCAGAAGCTATCATGGCAGACCTCCCCCGTCTTGCGCCATCAGGCGTACCCGCCCATGCACTCACAGTGAAGGTGAACGGCGTGTACCGTCTCATGTGCAACTATGCACCTGAGCGCGGCATGGTAAAGAACACTCGTGTGCTCATCCGTGCGCTTGGCAAACGTATCATTACTGTTCGTATCCTTCGGGGCATAGGCGGCGTCAGCGTGGTCGATCCGGAAGACATCTTGATCTCGCGCATCTCTTTCACCGCACTCCTCGAAACGGGACATACACTTGTCCGGAGACAGTTCCCGCTGGCGCCTGCCTATGCGACGACGTTCAATAGTTGTCAGGGGCTTACATTGGATGTTGTTGGGGTCGACCTCACCCGTCCCGTGTTCTCGCATGGCCAGCTTTACACAGCACTCTCGCGCATCAGGCATCGCTCCCATGCTAGAGTCCGGCTACGACCAGGACACACATATACACAGAATGTAACCTACCACGAACTTCTACCGTAATGGTAATGGATGCTTGAAACGTAGCGAAGTGGACGTCATTGTTGAGGAAGTCTGAAGGTGGGTGACTTGCATATCCCACAAGGAGAGAACAGGGCAATAATAATCTGGTCACCATCCTCAATGGTGAGCATGGTGTTGAGACTGTAGCCGTTGCTCTTTCGCGCTGACTATATAGCCAGTGTACGGTCCACGTCCACCATCAAGGACGGGACCAGCGTGAAAGTCGGAGCAGGAGAAGAGCTTGCGTTATACATTAAACCTCTAGTAGTCCCGATACAGTGTCGCTACGAAAGCCACGCCTCACGAGCAAACATGCACTAGAGACGCCGATGGCATTGCCCTCGACAGGGACATGGAGAATGGTGCCCTGGTTGTTCCCTTGGCAGCGTCTGCGGCGACGGCGGCGGGTACAATGCCCCCTGGGTAGGGAAGGCTGCATTATTCGAATCAGACAGCCTGCTCGGCAGAAGTAGGTTGAAATCAAAGCTTTTTCATCCCTCGAATCATGTTCCCCATGGAGACGATATGGGCTTCTTGACCTAGAAAACCCCACTCCTGTCCGAATTGTACTGAGCGGGTACCAAAGCTCATGAGACAACAGCACCTCCGAGTCGACGCTGCATTATCTCCGGCGGCTACGGACTTGGAACGATTGGAAGATTGGCTACTGCTCACGCCGTGTCTTTCCCGACCGACGGCAGCACTACTCTACACTTACTGGGAATGAACAAAACTAGGTGAGACTTGCGGTGGGAATTGACGCCAGGAAGCTATCGGATGCAATGACGGGCGAACCGCCGTTGCGACCTTGTGCCTTATTTGCGTGTTTGAGCATCTGCATGTTGGTGTTGGTAAAGCATCTCGAAGAGATCATTGCTGCACCGGCAGGATGTCAGCTGCCATCAGTGAATCAGCTTGAGGTACACGCACGTCCTCATTCTAACTTCACACTGACAATGCCATCCTCACCTTTGTCCATGACGTCGAGGCCGCTCACAACCACGACCGGGTGATGTCAGCCCTCACATTCGACATCAAGAGGTTTTTCGACTTCGTCAATCACAAGTGACTCCTCAACGTCATGCGCGGGATGCGCCTCCCGCTCACGATTGTCCGCTGGACTGCTGCATTCCTCAGTGACCGTGAGGCTGCGATATGCCTTGATGGCATCCACAGCGAGATGCAGCCGGTGGAAAACAGCATCCCTCAAGGCTCTCCGGTGTCCCTGGTCCTGTCCATTATTTATGCTGCCGAACTACTCACCATTTTTGAGCAGCGAGCGATGACACACAATGATGTGAAGGCAGCAGGCCTTCGGCTCCCCGATGACCCATCTGCCGCCAGCCTTGTCATGTTTGTTGATGATGGCAAGGCCTACGTTTCTTCTCTATCCCTGGACACTAATGTCCGGATCCTCCGGCTCACATACCTGATCATTGCAAAGTGGCTCACGAGCATTGGGCTTGCACCGGACCTGGTCAAGCGGGAGCTCATGCACTACTCCTTGCGGCGCTGCACTGCACACGACTCCCCATCAATCACGCTGCCTGGCGAGAATGGCACCGAGGTTGTCATCTCCGCAATGGACGCTACTAAATGGCTTGGTGTCTATCTGGACCACAGATTGACCTGTGATTACCATGTCAAGCAGATGGCCAGGCGCGCAGAACGGGCTGTGAACGGCATGGGTATGCTTGCTAACACTGTTCGCGGCCTCTCCCAGGAACACACTCACATGCTGTACACGGTTTGTGTCCACCCTATCATGACCTATGCAAGCCCCACGTGGTGGCGCGGCAAGAAGAAACACGAAAACACCCTCGAGAAGGTGCAACATTGGGCACTCCGCTTGATCTGCGCCGCCTTCTGCACCACCCAGATCACCGCACTGGAGATTGAGGCCGCCATTTCTCCCATTCGCCATCATCTCAACCTCACCAAAGAACACGCTGCCATTTGACTCAATAAACTCAGCCTCTACAGCCCGATCCTCCAGCGCCTCCCCAACACATGGGGCCCGCTGCCGGCCAATGCTTCCCGGCCCCCTCGCCCCCCACACCGCGGTGTTACCGCCCGGTGTCACACCGCCCCCTTATCTATGTGGCTCCACCGTCTTGCCGCGCTCACCGACCCCTCTAACGAGTGCCTCGAGCCCCTGGCTCTGCCACCATGGTGTTGCACTCCTGCTGACTTTGCCGGCAGGCTTACCATCCAGCCTGCATGTTGTGGTGTCTCAAAGGAAGATGCCGCTGCTGCTCACTCCGCTAAGTTGCTTACTCTTAACCACTCCCCTCACACTGTTCTTCTCTACTCTGATGGCTTGCTTATGACTGACCATGCTGGGTGTCGCAGGACTGGGGCTAGCCATGTTGCCCTCTACCATGACTATATGCTATTCAGCTGCCGCATCGCTATGAGCCGCCACTCCGAGGTCTACGACACTGAGATGGCCGGCCTTGCCTGGGCCGTGCGTGATGCCACCACGTATGCTGCACAACTGCATGCCATTGCAATCCACCACCTCCACTTTTTTGCTGACAATACTTCTGCCATCTCAGCCATTTTCGAGGCTAAGACAAGCATGGCCCAGGGTTATTCCCGCATTTTCCGGCAGCTCATCCTCGACTTCCTCGACACCGACCCACGCCATACCGTTAATCTCGAGTGGACCCCGGGCCACCAGGGTATCAGGGGCAATGAACTCGCTGACCAACTCGCCAAGGAAGCTACGGAGCTCGATGCCCCCCACCAGCGTGCATCGCGGGCGAGCGCGCTCCGCGAAGCTCGGGAGCGTGCTCACCTTGCATGGCTCGCTGAATGGACGCCTACGAGGCCGACTGGCCGCTTCGCCACTGCGGACCGCCTCCCCGCGCGCGACCGTCCCCGTTCCCACTTCCGACATCTTGCGCAGGACGTATTTGGGCAAGTGCTTCAGTGCCGCACTGGCCACTGCTTTATAGGCGAGTACTACCACCAGTTCCTTCCCGCTGAGCCCGATGACTGCCCTTGTGGCCATCCCACCCAGACACGCGCCCATATTCTCCAGGACTGCCCCCGGTACGCGCCGCACCGGCACGTCCTCCGGGCGGCGAGCCGGACGATCGACCTGCCCACCATCTTGGGCACCAAAGACGGGATCACAGCGCTCGCGACGTTCATCGCGCGCAGCGGGGCCTTCACGAAGACGGGCCCGCCCCGCCCCGCCCCTGCGGAGGAGGCGACGGAGGCGCAGGACGCCGAGGACGCGGCGGATGACGACCCTGGCGACGAGGCTGGTGCGGTCGGCGAGGTGGCGCACTCTGACGATGAAGACTGCGGGGCGTAGGCGACGCCCGCTGGAGGGTCACCTGGGAGCGATCTTGGCTTCCCCCCTCTCCTCTTTTCTTTTCCCTAATTCTTTCTTTTCCTTTCCTATGTATCCTTGTGTTTCACGTCCCGGACACTACAATCGTCTCGCACCATCCATAGACACCCATGCCCGCATACGAGTCCCGTATATCACTCCATCACTCTGCTGCCATACCCCGTAGACTACTCCCACGACAGGGGCGCTGCTACCCGCGATTCGCGGGCCGGCGGGGCCCGCTGCGTCTTAGCACCTCAGTGTTTGCTTGTTGCGGTATATAAATTCTGAATTCATCATCATCATCATCATCATCATCATTCTAACTTCACGGAACATGACATCGCCAGCAAGGTCTGCCATGCGCCTGAGCTGAGGGGCCGAGCGAACCACGAACCACGAAACCCTTACAGCGTAGGGAGTTCATGCCACTAGCGAAGTCTTCTCAACCTGCACGCGTCCATTCAAATACAGCTCTCTTCAACCTCGAGCTTGACGAGGACGTGGCACGCCTTGACGCGTTCGACAGGGCCAAAGCTGGGGCCATAAGCTGGAACCCAGTCGATGTAACAGAATAGATAGCTAGAACCGACAACAGAACTACGTGTTTGTAGCATCTTGCTCGTCATGCCAATACATATCGAATCGCAGCATGCAACAGCAGTATCATCATAAGTAAAAACAAGGAGAACACAAAACACAGACCAACGGGAGCTGCATGTGGTGCGGGGTTTCGCGGGTGTCTCAGTCGAGCCTCTCTGCTTCAAGTCTTAGTCATGGCTGGTGGCCAATGGCGCCTGCCTTCTTCGCCTTCTCTCAGCGACATGCTCAAAATTCCTGCCTCCTCGGCAGGTCCGTTCGCTTGTCATACACATCCATCGCAGGCGTCGCACCCGCTGCACGCAGCTCTGCAGCAGCGCGCTCCGCCCCCGCCATGACGCGCAGCAAGTTCCGACTCGTCAGGCCCGCGAGGTCGAAGCGGTTCCACCCGCGGCTGTACATCTCCGCGATCTGTGCGCACCGTCAGCCATATGCGCGAGGAGGAACGGGACGCAGGAGAAGGATGGAGCTCACGAGTGCAGGGTACTTGGAGACGTCCTCAAGCCCAACCGGCGTCGAATCGATGCCGTCGTAGTCGCTACCGAGGCCGACGCTAGGCGTGCGGGGGTGTCATCATTAGAAACCAACGAGGGCATGATGATGGCGACAGACGTACTGCTGCTTCCCGGTGATGCTCGCAATGTGGTCAATGTGGTCCGCGACGGCCTTCACATCCGCCTTACCCGGGGGCGCGACAAACTGCGGTGCGAAGTTCACCTAGCATAGCCACAACATACACACGGGTAAGCTCACGCGCGCCAACATGAGGTGTTGTGTATAACGCACCATGATGACCGCATCCACCTTGTCCTCCGACGTGCCAACCATCTCGAGGACGTCGTCCGGCACATTCCGCGCGATTGGGTGCACCGCGCGCGCAGACGAGTGCGACCAGATGACGGGTGCCTGTACGCAGGTGAACGCGAGTAAACCGCATGCCTTCATGCACATCAAAAGACGTCTGACGAACCTTGGTGTGCTTCAGCGCCTGCCGCGCAGTATCGTCTGACGTGTGGCTGAGGTCGACAAGCATGCCCAAGCGGTTCATCTCCTCAATCAGCTTGTAGCCGATGGGACTAGACCGGGCATTATTTCAGCTTCAGTACGAGACATATGGCGGCACAGCGCACCTGAGTCCGCCCCACTTCGTCTTGATGGGCTCGAGGTATCCGCCGGAGTCGGCAAAGGCGTTGTTGCACATGTGCGTGAGCGTCACGTAGCGCACACCGAGCTCGTAGTATTGGCGCAGCACCGCAAGGGAGTTTCCGAGCTGGTGTCCTCTACAAGGTCCAAAAGGTGAGTCACGTCGTGTGCCGATGCACTGGAGCTGGTGGGACTCGCCCCTCCACGCCGAGCAAGCTCGCGATTTTAGCCTGCTTGGCTGCATATTTTACATCATCCGTGGTCAATGCGAGCTGAAAGGTCTGTAGCGACATATAGACTATGAGCCCATATAATGGTCCAGTGGGTGAGTCACTCACGTCTGAGTATCTCTCGATAAGCAGCTTTGCAACATCTATCTGCTCAAGCGTGTCCCTGGCGAAAGCCAAATGGATTTAGCAATTATCTCTATCTAGAGTGTTCCCTGCGCTGGGACTCACCGTACACGCCATGTAGAATTCAAGAAATCCTCGCCGTCGTCGAGGCCCGCGTGGGCGGGACATGCAGTGTATACAGACCTGCCGCCGGTGTGTCATCGACGAGATCGAAGTCGTCCAGGATAAAGGGCGTACCAGAAGAATCCGCCTACTTGCCCCTGTTTGAGACGGGGGATATCAACATGGCCGAGGGTGGGCTGGTTGAGGTCAAATGCAGAGATATTGTTGCCGTATACCGTGCGCGCAAACTCTGGCAGATCTACAAGAGCATTTAAGCATGAGTCCAGCGCACAAGCAAAACAAGAAGACGTACCGATGTGTCCGTCCTATGAAGAGAGGCGATAAGCATACTGCTAGCGAATAGGGTGTTTACTCGGGTCCAAAATCCGCTATGCAAGTCTAATCGGCGCGGGCACTATCGCCAGCAGTAGGACGTCACCCGCCGCGTCGGGTGCGCGCATTCGCACATGCGCGCGAACATCCTCTGCTCGACCCGCGTGCCGAACAGTGAGGGTGTGCGACGTACCAAGTCATTTCCCTTTCGGTTTGCATCCGCCCTCGGCTGACCGATCACGCAGGAAATGCACTAATCTGGCAGCCTGGTCAGGGGCGGGAGAGCGCACTCTCCCGTACCCCTCCAGCTCCCCACCAACTTACATGAGATCGCAGCTACGCACCATCCGCACCCTGTATTCTGTAGCCGTACATTCGCAGCAGACAGTTCCAGGCCGTAATACATATGGACTCACGATGACGGGCGCAGACTGCAGGAGCCTCCTCGCTGCGTCATCCGGGTTCCCCGGAAGCGCACCTACTGCGTGTCCGATCTTGTCCCAGAAGAACAGCATGCAGGCGATGGCAACGATGAAGGCGGCCGTGACGACACCGTAGACGACGGCGCGCACCGTGGTTGCGCGGCGGTGGTGCGCATCCTTGGCTGCGTGCTCGCCGACATCGGTGTCGCGGGCGAGGTTGGGCTGTGCGGAGAGGAGAGGCTCGCGCTCGTCGATGGAGGCCATGGCGAGGGACGGTGGGGGGAGGGAGAAGAGCGGCGACGGCGAGGCGATCGACGATGAGCAGTGATGACCCTATATGACGTATCTGATCGCCGTGGGCGTCTGATGTAGCGCTCGTCATGTATAGCGGCAGTGAGCAGTGAGCACATCCAGGGAAAGTACATACTGGCACTATTACTGCGTTGACCGGTGAACATACGCCATGCTGCATCTCCTATGAACAAAAATGCGCACATGCTAGGTTAGTCTCGCTCTTCCTGTGCTTGCAATCAGAGGTCCATGAAGTGAAGTATGTAATCTTGGAACGACTAACAACCCTCAGCTACTCCGAAAACGCAGGCATCCTGATCGCCACAGCAACAATCGACCCTTGCCCGTCCTTCCGCCCGAGCACCGCATAACCCCCATCGTCGCCCATGAACACCACGCCGCCCGGGACGGCCGGACAGCCACCCCCCACGTTGCCGTCGAGCGCAAGGTCCATCAGCATCTCGAGCGCGCTCTCCACGTCGATGTCGTCGTCCGTGAGCACGTCGCCGTCGAGCACAGACCGCATGATCGCCCCAGTGCTCCCAGAATCGATGCTGTATGACCCGATCTTCTCCCACGGCCCCGCACCGGCCCCGCTTTCTCCAGATCCACCGCCTATGGTATCCGACGCGAGCGCCGCCGGCGCCCCGTAATCCACCCTGCCCGGCATTGCCCAGAGCAGCCGGACCTCGGTGAAGCGGTCGTCGCCCGCGACGGACACGGCACTGCGCCACACGCCCGGCTTCAGTCCCTCGATCACGCACTCAAAGTCCAAGTCGCCTTTCGCTAGCTGCACATCGCCCAGCAGCATCTCATCGTCGTCGAGGACCTACCCGCAGGGTGAGCCAGCGCGCGCCGAGCATGCAGAGCAGCAAACACGCACCTCAAAGACCCGCGTCGCCTCGGAGACGTTCAAAGACGCCGCAAGCGCATCGATGTCGATCTTCTTCACCTCCCCCTCCTGCTCGCGACTAGCACCGCCCTCACCCGGTCCCTGCAGCGCCGCGCCCAACGCCGCCAGCCGCCGGTCCTCCGGAGAGCTGACGACGCCGAGCCAGTACGCGTGGTGCTTATTTACCGCAAACGCATCGCGCCGAGACGCCCCGTACTCGCAGTGCCAGCCCGGCTCGCCCACGTCCAGCAAGAGCTCCGTGCCCGCCCACCCGGCCGGGTACATGCAGTGCAGCACGCGCGCCGCGGGGTCGTACCCCCACGCCGCGGTGGTCTGCCGCGGGAGCCCCGTGCGGCGTCCGCCCGCCTCCTTCTTGCGCCGCTTCGCCGGCGGGCCGCCGTCCGCGTGCGCGTCGTCGGGCAGCGGCGCCGTCGAGAACTGAATGGTGCGCCCCAGCACGCTGCGCGCCTGCGCGTCCGTGAGCGGCACCACGAGCCTGTCGGCCGGCCGCACGCAGTCCTCGGGGCCCAGCATGGCGTACGTGGTGGTCTCTCCCCACGCGTGCACGGGCACGTAGAGGTGCGTGGCGACGGCGGGCGGGGCCGCCATGCCGGGGAGGATGTTGCGGCCGTCCCCGGGGTAGTGCAGCAGCGGCGCCTGCTTGTACACGATCGTCCCGTTTTCGGCGACGACAGACGGGTCCGCGAAGGAGCGCGGGGGGGCGGGCGTCAGCCAGGAGGCGGGCGCGGGGGGGAACCAGCCCGGCAGCTCTCTCTTCCATGGCGGCACCGAGTTGATAGTGAACATGTCCGCCTCCATGTTTTGACGGTCGTTACGTACGTACCGCACGACGGGCGAGGGCTCGGCCCCCAGGCGGCCGAGGACGTCCTTGACGAGCAGCGCGTCGCAGTCGTTGATGTTCACGCGTTTGGGCGCAGCCTCTCCCGCCCCCGGAAGCACGACGTCAAAGTTGAGCGTGGGTCGGAAGGGATGCCTGTACTTCCTGTTCGTGCGGACGCGGAAGCGCAGGAGGGCGTTGAGGACAGGCTCATCCACGCTTGCCTCGACGGCCTCGTCTGCCCAGATCTCCTGCTCCCCAAACGCCTCGTAGTCGGCCGTGGCATCACGAAAGAGCAGCGTCACAGCCTCAGGTTGAGAGCCGACCAGCTCCGGTTCCGTCCACCAACGCTCGGCGACGTTCTCTGGGGTGACGTGTTTCTGCGCTTCCAGCTTGGCGTGCACCGCCCTCGCCAGTTCAACGAGTGCTGCATCTCCTCGAAGAACGTTGGCTTGAACGGAGGAAACCAACCTTGGTAAATGCACCCGCTAGAGCAGGAAAGGCATGAGCACATGCCCGCCGCTTCATCTGCATGTGAACACACGTACCTCGGAGAGGGGGAAGGACCACTCGACCTCGTCTCTGATGCAGATGAGGAGTCGTTTCACTTCCTGGACGTCGATCTCTCAGTGTATGGCACACGGACATTCGGGTTTTGGAAAGGCTTACATTGAGATCCTTCGCATCCGCTGCAACCTGGAGGGCGTCATGCAGCTCGCGGGCCCTTTCCAGACCGCGTACCATGTCGAAGTATATGAGGACGTTTGAGAGAGTCCAACTTCTTAAGGACGGAGTGAGGATTGATGGGAGGATCGCCGCGGCGACACGGCTATGGGGCGCTCCGACTCGGAGGCTGGGCTCGTAGATCCCCTGCAGTACTAGTGTTTGTTCCTAGCTTGAAGCGCCCTAGGCTTGCCGATCTCATCATGGCCAAGAGATGCTGATGGGTTTAGGAACCTGTACCGAATCTCGTAAGTCTATGACTATACATCGAATCAGTACTGGTACGGGAAATAGGACGAGATGAACATACCTCAGCCGGGGTGGTACAACGACTGAGGAGAGAAATGGGGAGCGAGGGAGCGAGGTATAAGTAGAGAGTGTAGGCATCACGTGTAGCGAGACAGAGCTAAGCTATCGTATTGACGTAGGGAGCGTGGATCGCGGCCGCGGACGTCAAGCGTGCCAATCGGGGCAGTCAGAATCCGAGAATGGGCCAGCGCCGAGCTGAGGTATTCTTGTGAGTATTTGACTCGACGTCCAATCGCCCTGAGCGCGACGCGTCGCGTCGCACTTCCAATCCAGTCACGTGCGGAACAGGTCGCACACGCTTGCCGTCACGCGCCAATGGGCATGCAACTTACTGCTTGCTGCATCGACGACTTTGAAGTTTGGGGAAGTTAACGATGATCTTTTGATCCTTGTGCACCGCTATGTGCGCCAATGCGCTAGAAAGATCACCTTCTCTCGTCCGCGAGCAACCAATACGTCGACCGCTGCGTGCGTTCTAGCGCGCCAGGGCAAAGGCGGCAAGAACGCGTGCCGAGTGTGCAGATGCGACCCGAGTTTTCAAGTCTTCGCACAACTGCGATGGGAAGCATGGCCCCTGCGTCAACGCGGGCAGGATGGGATTCTGCACGAGTACCAAGGGTTGCAAGTCGAGAACGGTGAATGCTTCTATTCTATGAATGAGCTCTTTCACCAGAGGGAGATCCTCGTGTATATCCGCCATATTGCGTGCCTGCCATTTGAACCCCACTTGTCCTTCAACGGGTTGCCTGGAGCGCTGCTTGTTGCCATAGCCTGATTATCGGCGACTGTAGTAGCCTGTTGGAGGCGAGGCTTGAGATGCGTCGCGGGAGGCACGTGCGAACTGAGGTTGACGTCACTTGGGGTGTGTCGTCACAGGGTTGCAGCACACATGAAAAGGGCGTGCCCGTGCTCGTTTCCTTTTACAACCACCGCCCGCACACTCCCATCCCACACACCCAATTACATTTCCATCCGTAGTCAACCACACCAATCCTCATCACCATGGCCTCATCCATCCTGCGCTCACGCGCCCTCGCTGCCTCGCTCAGAGCCCCCGCCCTCGCCCCGCGCACGTACGCGACGATCCCCAACCCCACACAGCCCACCGACTCGCCCGAGCCGTCCGACGTGCCGACCCCCAAGGGCTCCGGCTCGACCTTCTGGCTGCTCGTGGGCGGCACCGCCGCCGCCGTCGGCGGCTGGTACTACATGCGCGAGGGCCAGCCCGACATCCACGCGAAGCGCAAGGCAGACCAGGAGGAGGCGCTCGCGAAGGCGCGCGAGCTCACCGCCGCGGGCAAGCGCACCGTGCAGGACACCGTCCGCGAGGGCGAGAAGGGGTACGATCAGCTGAAGGTGCGTGGTGATGTGCCCTCCGCAGTGAGATCCAGCGACGGATGCGGGGCGTTGACAGGCCTCGGGGACGGAGAAGGTCAATGAGGCGCGCGCGAAGACGAACGACTACGTGAACGGCGCGCGGAGCACGGTCGAGAGGCAGTACGACGCGGCCATGACGTCCGTCGGGAACACGTACACCGCCGCCGCACACACGGTGGAGGAGGCCGAGGCGCGCGCGAAGGCGGCTGCCGAGGGCGCGAAGCAGGCGACGCAGAGCTGGGGCGCGTGGCTCGGGAGCTGGTTCGGCTATGGCAAGAGCAAGGTGGACGAGACGAAGCGCGAGGCCGCCGCGCAGGTGGCATCGGGCGCGAGCAAGGTCGAGAAGGAGGCGGAGAAGCGAGCATGAGGCGGAGCTGCACTGTGTATGATGGACTTGAGAAGGATCGCGACGTTGTACAACAGCCTACACCCGGTTTGTGACCCGCACATATGTACTTCAGCGGAGCGTCCTGCGAATCGGGCGTGTATTGTCATCGATATTCTCAAAATATGTTGTAGCCTGCAATGAACCACTGTCCACAGCGCTCGCGAATAGGTCTTGCAGCAAGCTGTGCGGGGATCCCAAGATTAACATATGCTATCGACCGGGAGGTAAACGGCACCATGATCGATCGGACCGCCACATACCCCATATGGTCAATTTGCCTTTGCACTGAGCGCCACACGTTAATTGCGACTGTCGTCGCCACAGCTATGTAACTCCATGGCTATCCTTCCGCTCGCAAACAATGGCACAACATCCTCACGACGTCAACCGCCAGTTCTGTTGTGCATCTGTGATGGCAACTTGCACGAGGCCTCTGTGGCGGAGGCAGCCATACAACTCGCGGCAGGTCCGCCGGCCATAGCGCCGCCACACTGACCTTCCTGACAGACCTCTGATCGCCAAATTCCCCCGCAAGAGCTTCGCCACCGATTCCGTGCGGGCACGACGGCCAGTGCACTTGTGCGAAGGAGCTCTCCCCCGGGGGCTAACCGCCTAATCCGCGTTTTGTTGTGCGCGCGCATGTCGAGGATGAGCCTTTCGTCGGATCGAACGTTTTGGTGATCTTTCGTAGCTGTGGCGGCGGGCTGTACTGAAGCATGGCTCGTGTGCTGCTTTCTTGCACCTGCATAAGAAGGGGACGTTGCACACTGTGCTGCTCTAGTTCCTACATTGGTATCACCCACTAGCGGATACAAACCTGCGATCAACCGGGATGACGGTCCTAGTTCCATGTCTCGTCTATTGTATGTGGCATGAAATGCTCCTTCTTTCATGTCGACTATTCACATCTGAAACCCGGCATTGCAGACTGCAGAGACACTGCATGCATACTCCCTCGCATCCCCGCGGTGGCGCACGCGCATCCCCGCGGTGGCGCATGCGCATCCAATGTCATATCTTCCACTCCATCACCATAACAATCTCCGCAGTCCACACACGCTTCATCCAGCGCGTCGCCAAGACCGCCCGCCTCGTCCGCCTCGTCCGCGAGCTCTGCTTCCACGAGCGCACCAACGGGTTCGCCAGGGACACCCGCCCCCCCGGGCCATGCGCACGATCCCCGCGCATGCGCTCCCGCGCCTGCACACCCCGCGCTTCAAGCGCATCGCGTTCCAGCAGGTCCCCCATCGCGTGCCCTTCTCCACCACGCTCCGGCGCTTCGCCCGCGTCCGCACGCTCGCCTTCGCCGGCTGCGCCTTCCCGACGCTCCGCGCCTTCGAGACGCTCGTCGCCGCGCCGCCCGGTCTCGCTCGACCTCGTCTCCTGGGGCTTCGGCGCCGACGAGCGGCGCAACAGCGCACGCCGCTGCCCGCCTCGCCTCGCGCTCCACGCCGTCGAGCTCATGCGCCACGCGGACCCCGCGCGCTTCGCCGCGTGGCTCTTTCGCATGCCCGCCCCGCCGACCGTGGGTGCCCGTGCTCCTGCGCCAGGCGACGGGCGCGCCGCTGGAGCGGCTGACGTTCGAGATGTGGCTGAACGACGGGCGGCAGCTCGCCAGCCCGTGGTGGGACGCGGTCGCCGCGCTGCTCGACCAGCCGTGCTTTGCGGGCGTGCGGGAGGTGCTGGTCATGTACCGCGGCGACCTCAGCATGAAAATTACGACGGGGTCGTTGGAGAACCGGTTTCCGGAGCTCGCGAGGAGACATGTGCTGCGCGTCACGGACGTCTCGCCGTTCCTCGCGGGGAGGATCAGGTGATGGAGCTAACGCCTTGCAGCTGCTTCATGACATGCAAGGCCCAAGGCTGCGCCCATGCCTCACCGCGCCCATAGATGAGACTGTAGCTTTACTTACACGCAGAGCTCTGGCACTCGTGTAAGGGCGGTCATTGGATGTACATACTATGTCATTATATCACAATAGAAGGCAGGCAATCTAATCGACACAAAGTGGTTTTAATTGGGACCCAAGAGGAGAAATGCCTCTGGGGTCGTCGTGCTGTGGCGACGGTTTCAATTTCTCGGCAAGGAGCGGCGAGCAGTCTCGAACGCGTAAGACACCGCGTTTTACGAGGCCAGGGAACCGCCATGTCCACGATGCATTCGTATACCTTATGGGGAGATTCCCACGATGCATGATTATCACCTCTTCCAGCGTGGCAACCCACTCATTGTCCAAAAGCGCCACAATTTCGACCCAGTCATCGCTGACTAGCTGTAGCCCGTTGTCCAGCCATACCTCCAACGTTAGCCACCGTAAAGGCACATGCTTTATTTGAGCCAGGATCGCAGGCACCCACGGCATCAGGTAGTCCTGCAGATCCGCTATAACAAGGTGCAGCGAGCGCAGTTCCTCATTACGCGACAAGTCGATGTGTCTATTCAAGCCTATGGGAAATGATACGTTTAGCTTATGAACATCGCTGGAGGGAAAGGGTCACACGTACACTTTGTCATCGCCGGATCCTTGTCAAATCGGCATCCAATACGAAGATTCCGTAGCCCGGGGCCAAGCTTGGTCAGGAATATGCCCACCAGCTGTGCGTCCGCGAGCATGACACGTTGAAACGCCACCGACCGCAGTGTGGGCGGGATAGGCATCCTGAGAAGCCACGAACAGAATTTCACTGGGTCCGCAAACCAGAGAAACTCAACAATAGACAGCTGCAGCTTCGGTGGGTCGGCTATCAT